GAATAGACTGGATTCATAGACACCTTCTCAAGATGAAAAGATATGAAAATAAGCCTTTTTGAAAATTCATGAATTTTTGGCCAAAATGAGGGGCTAACCCCTTGCCATTATTGTTAAAAACGGTGACATTTTTTAATATTTCATGAATAATTTGCAATGGCATATTTTGAAAAGACAAGGGTCATAGACATCTTCTCAAGGTAAAAAGATATTAAAATAAGCCTTTTTGAAAATTCATTAATTTTTGCCAAAATGAGGGGCTAACCCCTTGGCATTTTTGTCAAAAAGTGACATTTTTTAACATTTCATGAAATGATCTGCAATAGCATATTTTGAATAGACAGGGGTCATAGACACCTTCTCAAGATGAAAAGATATGAAAATAAGCCTTTTTGAAAATTCTTGAATTTTTGCCAAAATGAGGGGCTAACCCCTTGCCATTTTTGTCAAAAAGTGTCATTTTTTAACATTTCAGGAAATGATCTGCAATAAGCATATTTTGAATAGACACGGGTCATAGACTCCTTCTCAAGATGAAAAGATAAGAAAATAAGCCTTTTTGAAAATTCATGACTTTTGGCCAAAATGAGGGTGTTAACCCCTTGCCATTTTTGTCAAAAAGTGACATTTTTTAACATTTCATGAAATGATCTGCAATAGCATATTTTGAATAGACAGGGGTCATAGACACCTTCTCAAGATGAAAAGATATGAAAATAAGCCTTTTTGAAAATTCTTGAATTTTTGCCTAAATGAGGGGCTAACCCCTTGCCATTTTTGTCAAAAAAACACATTTTTTTCACATATCATTAAATGATTTGCAATGTTTAAATTTGAATAGACAGGGGTCATAGACACCTTCTCAGGATGAAAGGATATGGAAAGGAGCCTTTTTGAAAACTCCTGAATTTTGGCCAAAAATGCCATTTTTGTCAAAAAGTGACATTTTTTCACATTTCATAAATTAATCTGCAATAGCATATTTTCAATAGACTGGATTCATAAACATCTTCTAAAGATGAGAATATATGAAAATAAGCCTTTTTGAAAATTCATGAATTTCAGCCAAAATGAGGGGCTAACCCCTTGCCATTTTTGTCAAAAAGTGACATTTTTTAACATTTCATGAAATGATCTGCAATAGCATATTTTGAAAAGACAAGGGTCATAGACATCTTCTCAAGGTAAAAAGATATGAAAATAAGCCTTTTTGAAAATTCATTAATTTTTGCCAAAATGAGGGGCTAACCCCTTGGCATTTTTGTCAAAAAGTGACATTTTTTAACATTTCATGAAATGATCTGCAATAGCATATTTTGAATAGACAGGGGTCATAGACACCTTCTCAAGATGAAAAGATATGAAAATAAGCCTTTTTGAAAATTCTTGAATTTTTGCCAAAATGAGGGGCTAACCCCTTGCCATTATTGTCAAAAAGTGACATTTTTTAACATTTCATGAAATGATTTGCAATGGCATATTTTGAATAGACTGGATTCATAGACACCTTCTCAAGATGAAAAGATATGAAAATAAGCCTTTTTGAAAATTCATGAATTTTTGGCCAAAATGAGGGGCTAACCCCTTGCCATTATTGTTAAAAACGGTGACATTTTTTAATATTTCATGAATAATTTGCAATGGCATATTTTGAAAAGACAAGGGTCATAGACATCTTCTCAAGGTAAAAAGATATTAAAATAAGCCTTTTTGAAAATTCATTAATTTTTGCCAAAATGAGGGGCTAACCCCTTGGCATTTTTGTCAAAAAGTGACATTTTTTAACATTTCATGAAATGATCTGCAATAGCATATTTTGAATAGACAGGGGTCATAGACACCTTCTCAAGATGAAAAGATATGAAAATAAGCCTTTTTGAAAATTCTTGAATTTTTGCCAAAATGAGGGGCTAACCCCTTGCCATTTTTGTCAAAAAGTGTCATTTTTTAACATTTCAGGAAATGATCTGCAATAAGCATATTTTGAATAGACACGGGTCATAGACTCCTTCTCAAGATGAAAAGATAAGAAAATAAGCCTTTTTGAAAATTCATGACTTTTGGCCAAAATGAGGGGTGTTAACCCCTTGCCATTTTTGTCAAAAAGTGACATTTTTTAACATTTCATGAAATGATCTGCAATAGCATATTTTGAATAGACAGGGGTCATAGACACCTTCTCAAGATGAAAAGATATGAAAATAAGCCTTTTTGAAAATTCTTGAATTTTTGCCTAAATGAGGGGCTAACCCCTTGCCATTTTTGTCAAAAAAACACATTTTTTTCACATATCATTAAATGATTTGCAATGTTTAAATTTGAATAGACAGGGGTCATAGACACCTTCTCAGGATGAAAGGATATGGAAAGGAGCCTTTTTGAAAACTCCTGAATTTTGGCCAAAAATGCCATTTTTGTCAAAAAGTGACATTTTTTCACATTTCATAAATTAATCTGCAATAGCATATTTTCAATAGACTGGATTCATAAACATCTTCTAAAGATGAGAATATATGAAAATAAGCCTTTTTGAAAATTCATGAATTTCAGCCAAAATGAGGGGCTAACCCCTTGCCATTTTTGTCAAAAAGTGACATTTTTTAACATTTCATGAAATGATCTGCAATAGCATATTTTGAAAAGACAAGGGTCATAGACATCTTCTCAAGGTAAAAAGATATGAAAATAAGCCTTTTTGAAAATTCATTAATTTTTGCCAAAATGAGGGGCTAACCCCTTGGCATTTTTGTCAAAAAGTGACATTTTTTAACATTTCATGAAATGATCTGCAATAGCATATTTTGAATAGACAGGGGTCATAGACACCTTCTCAAGATGAAAAGATATGAAAATAAGCCTTTTTGAAAATTCTTGAATTTTTGCCAAAATGAGGGGCTAACCCCTTGCCATTTTTGTCAAAAAAAAACATTTTTTTCACATTTCATTAAATGATTTGCAATGTTTAAATTTGATTAGACAGGGGTCATAGACACCTTCTCAGGATGAAAGGATATGAAAATAAGCCTTTTTGAAAATTCATGAATTTTTGCCAAAATGAGGGGTTAACCCCTTGCCATTTTTGTCAAAAAGTGACATTTTTTAACATTTCATGAAATGATCTGCAATAGCATATTTTGAATAGACAGGGGTCATAGACACCTTCTCAAGATGAAAAGATATGAAAATAAGCCTTTTTGAAAATTCATGAATTTTTGCCAAAATGAGGGTCATAGACACCTTCTCAAGATGAAAAGATATGAAAAAAAGACTTTTTAAAAATTCATGACTTTTGGCCAAAATGAGGGGCTAATCCCTTGCCATTTTTGTCAAAAAGTGTTACTTTTACAACATTTCATGAAATTATCTGCAAAACCATGTTTTGAATGAACAGGGGTCACTAACACCTTCTAAGATGAAAAGATATGAAAATATGCCATTTTGGAAATTTCATAATTATGAGACATACAGACACTATTTTGTAAACATTTGATAACAGATTTATTAGTTAGCATATCCTATTAATTTACATCAGTGATGGACAATATAGATTTGGTAAAATAGATGTTTTTCGTTGCATCCCCTTATAGGCTGTATCTGGGGGTAGAAATGTACGGATCAAGTAATAGGAAACCAAATTTTGTTTTTTATTTTAAGGATACCATAGATTGACACGAATCGTACGCATGTATCTAGGTTCATCACCTGGAAACTACAGATATATGTGAGCACAGATTCAAGGAAGGAAAACTTTGTTTTTACCTACTTCTATTGCTAGAAGGTGTATGGAATTATTTACAGTTCAGTTGAGTGTTAATAAACAGAGAACCATGAAATTACCACATTGTCTCAAGGATCATATGGAGATATCTCTACATTACATATTCATATAAAACAGTGTCCGATGAAAAATTGATAATATCACATCATGTCTCTTTAGACAAGTCACACAAAATGTTTACATCTGAAAACAATATACATGTATAAACAGTACTGTATTGCACTTAGTGAACAAAAATATAAATATTTTTATTTCTAATTCTCTCTGACCTGAATTATAGTTACCATGGTAAACAGATATCTAATTAGGTCAAAATCATATTCTACATGTTACATATGGCAGTCTTTAAAATTTACATATTAATAAAATGTACCGTAATTAACGGTGTATTAACCGCACCTTTTTGCCGCCGAAAAAAATTCAAGGTCGGGGGTGCGGCTTATACACAGTACACAAAAAAAAAAAAGTTTTGATTTATGCCCCTCCACCTGGCGCTATGCCTGGCAATGTCTCCCAGCTCGGTAATCGGTGTGTTGACTCACCACTCTGAAACTAGAACACTCAAATTTGTCTGTCATCTTGGTTTGAAAGTAATCTTTCTGATAGATCTCAATGTATAGTTTATAATAATAATTCCTCCAATTTTTCTTCTATTACATGGTATACCACAAGGTTCTATCCTAGGTTCCCTACTGTTTTTTAATTTACATTAATGATCTTACACCCAAAAAAAATCTTGGCAATTTTTTTTTTTTTTTAAGGGCGAAAAAGAGGGGTGCGGTGAATACACGAGGGCGGTTTATACAACGTTAATAACGGGTAAGTGAAGTATTTGATCTGGGCCCTGTTTCATAATACTAAAACTAGATGGACCTTCAACTGTGCACAGTCAAAAATGATGCCACCGCCATAGAGCCATTTCACAAACCCAAACAGAAGCAATTTTTAAAAGTTCAAGTGTAATTGTAGTTCATTAATAGGTTCTCAGAATATTTTGATTACAAGCTGTTTTTCATACATGTACAGTGTATGAGTATGACCCTTTGATTTTTTTACCTCATGGCCTTAAAATCTACTCCGTTCTTAGGCTCTGCAAGATACATACATATTTTTAGTTTGATGGTAATCTGTCCATCGTTTCTAATGATAATGTGATCACGAGCTATTTTTGCATACATAATGAGCCCCAAAACATTTGACCTTTGCCAGATACATACATGACCCAAGTTTTGGCAGGAATCCATCCATAGGTTCTTGAGATAACGCGATCACGAAAACGGGACGTACGGACAACCCGAAAACGTAATGCCTCCGGCTATTTCGTAACAGAGGCATAAAAAAGGATTAAGTGCGATTTTAAAATAAGAGGTATTAGAAATCCGAACGAAGCAAAGCGTTCAAGCAAGTCATGGAAAACAGCACCTCCTGCACCCCCTAATTTTTAATTTTGAAAATTGGGTGGATAGCGATTCTTTACAATGTTGATGTATTTGGATGCACATGTGGATTCATATAAGCACCAGAAAATTTAGCCCCTGAAACACTTCTGCTTTCGAGAAATAGAATAATCAAAATTTACTGGTGCTCCCGGTAAATTTCAAATATTTCAAAAAGCGCCAAAGGCCATTTCATGCTAACTGTGACCATGAAAATCTTAGAATATGCAGCTCTGATATATAATTTCCAAACAGGAATAGAAGCCACCATCTGTGCTACAACAAAGCCTTCATCAGCAGCATCATCATTTGATAAGGCTCCCTCGTCTTCCTAAACTGATTTGCGCAGTCTCAGTATTTGTCGTCTCAGTATTCGTCATCTTCATCGTCGATGTCCTCTTCCGATCCGTACTGCTCGTCATCGACGTCGCTACTGGAGAGGGAGATCTCAGGACACTTGAAGTGGAAGCGAGGACATATCACGTCAAAGTTCTCGCCTTGATAAAAGACATAAACATGATGTACAATTCAAATAGAAGTACAGTCAAACCTGTCTATAGCGACCGCCCAACGGAAACACAAACAGTGGTCTTTGTAGACAGGTTCTTTCAGTGAATGTTTCAATGAGAAACCATGTTCAAGGGGAACAAAAAATGTGGTCTTTGTTGAGAGGTGGTCTTTGTAGACAGGTAGTCACTAACTACTTTGACTGTAACAGGAGTATTGCACAATAATTAAACCGAAAAAGTGGGGTTAGGGTCACTTAATATTTAATGAATTAATATATCATGAAAGAGAAAGTCCACCCTCTGATATCATCTGCAGTGGAGGTGATTTAGTTTTTCTTTAATGATTTAACATAAATTTGCTTGACTCTTGAATTTAAAACACCCAATCCAAACATCCAATCATACAATAGGCAGACAGAAAAGACTAAAAACTGACTTGTTGATGAAGGTTGCTGAAAAACTGCAATTTTTGTATGAAATGTTACTTATTTTTTATATTTCTTCTACTGTACTAACTCTCTAACGTGCAAAAAATCCTGAAAAGATTCTCAAACCACAAAGAAATAAAACAGGCTTTTAAAAATCTTTCAACACAATCTTTGGAATGGTATATATCGCCACTTCATTGCTTTGTGACTATTCACATTCACTTAAAGTTTAATATATATTTAATAATATAGTTGGGAGAATTTAGGAAATGATCAGTTTTTCCCAAATTGTATCATTAATAATGGTCTGTTTTCACTCAAACTTTCAGATTGTCTTTAACTGTACATCTAGCATTGAAGTCACTACCTTAGCGCCATTTTCTCTCATGTGAACAATTTTACCAAGTCCCTTTTAATAATGTAATAAGTATAAACTTTTAGAATAAATGCTATTTTTAATATAGCTGAAAAATGTTCTTGCTATTTTTTCATCATATTAAACACAATTTTCAAAATCTTTTTCAAAATCTTATATGCTCAACTCACCAGTCTTGAGGTTGACAAAAGTGAAATGGCCCTCCATGAAGCCACCATCACTATCTAGTGGAGTCCAGCTGCAGTAAGAGAACTTGGCCCCCGGCTTCATCACAGGGTATAATCCTGTAGGATAAAACAGTCAATTGAAATAATACACAGCAAGTATGCTCTAGAATACATTAGCCCCTTGTTTCATCACTGTGTATACACCCTACAGGATACATGCAAAAGGCAAAAAAGTTTGTAATATTTGATATACTGTATATGAATGAAAATTTGAGTTACATTAAGCCGAATTGAGATAGTACATATACATGCATTTACATGCTACATATCCGAACAGTGTGCTTCTACTCCTATGTGATACAATTCTGATTTTGAATGATTGTGCATTTTGTGTTCCGGACACGTCTTTTCATGCCACCTCGAAAAGCATTGATTGTCTATGTGTAGAGAGGGAGGGATAAAGAAACAAAGCTGGAAATTAAAAAAAAGTATTTTGATGTGTACCTACAAATACTTTTTATTTCAGTAAATAAAATGTGTAATTAACTAAATGCAAAAGAACATTGTGAATATGTATAATTCTGTAAAGGTAAATTTTTCAAAATCATTTAGGGGAGCCTTCCAAAGTTGCGACTGTGCCCGGACGCGTCGGGGCGCGATGAATAGAACAGTCGCGTCCCAAGAGACGCATTGAGGCGCAAAGGGGCGCGAAGGGGCGCAATAGTCACCCTCACCTGTTTCTTGCATATGAAAAGAAACTGTCTATTGTTGGTATAAACCCGCTCTATTCTTCTTGCGCCCTTTTGCGCCCCACCAGGCGATGGAAGATTATCTCTCCCGTCATTGTTCTCGCTCGTGATGCGCGGTACAGCTTAAACGTGATATACAGGAAGTATTTGTCGGTCAAAGCCTGTCTTCCCCTCCTCCGGTTTTCGTTCTGATAAACATTCCATTGTTTGTAAAAAAAAATGATGTATTCTTCTCGCGTCGCGATCTATTCTTCTCGCGCCGTTTTGCGTCGTAACGGGCGGGGTATTATCTTTCCAATCATTGTGGCGAAGCTTTTCGATGTACATTGCTACAGCACAGCATGAACTTGTCTGGTGGGATTGTCTTTGTTTTGGGGGGCAATCAACACACTCGTTCATCTTGATCAGAATAAATTATGATTTATTTTTGTTGGGTTTTATACGCCTCCTTTTAATTTTTGTGACGACTGTATGAAATGTGAAATAAAGATGACTATGTACGATTAATGGTTGTTTAATTGCGAGCTTAATTGTCCCCAACAAAAACAAAATTAAAGACGAATGGTGTGAATGACTACATGTATGCCGTTATAGTCGGCAAATTGATTACTGTTTGGGTCGCTCGTGTATGTTTGTAATTTGAATGATTATCAACATATTTGTATAATTCCCACATCGCGATATGATTCTAGCGTCGTTAATAATGGACAAAGGAATTATCTTTCTCTCCCGTCATTCATATTCACGCTACGCATTGCACATCGCCACAGCCTGAGCTTGGAAGAATTGGAAGAATTTATATTTTGTCAGTCAAGTCTTGCTTTTTTTCTCCTCCCATGACTTGGTTCTAATACATTGAAGGTTTGCTCATTAGGGATAAGAAGGATAACATCAAACAAACGATCTACTCAAGATGACGCTCTTTTCATTTCACCTCGCTGTTTGATAAAAGTAGAGTTCTACGGAGCGAATACAAAAGAAAAGTTCGCTCTAAGGCCAAATAAAAAATTAAAAAATATTTTATTAGCGTCCTGTTTTTTCAAAAAATAGGTAGGGGGAGGCCCTCTTTTTTTCTTTCAAAATGGCCGCTCAGAATGGCCGCTCGGTACATTTTCCCTGACAGTCGGGCTATTTTTCAATATGGCCGCCGACATTTCGTCGCTGTTTTCACGAAGTGACGGTAGTGAAAAATTGCATTCACTTTGCGTTACGATTTTCCTCACTACCGTCACTTCGTGAAAACAAGGACGATTTTTTAATTAAAAAAAAAAATCAGTAATAGATCAATTTTAGCAGTGTTTTTCATTTTTTTTTTTTAATTAAATAAAAAAAAAAAAATAAAAATTCCACAAAAATAAGAAATAGGAGGCGGCCCCCAAAAAGGAAGCGGGCGGGGACGCTAAAAATGTATATTTTGTTAAGTTCCCTCAGGTAAAAATCATGAAATGCCGTGGCAGGATTTCACGCCCGAGATTTGCCTTCGAAAATTGCCCGTCCAAAAGGCGTTTTTAATCATAATAATTCCATAGCTCTTTTTAAAAGTGGAATAAATAGAAAACATATATAGTCCGGGAACTATATCGAGATTATAAAACATGTGTATCATGAAGATGTAAACAAAAAGCGTAGCCTGATGGTGATAAAGTTAAGCAGCAATTGGAAATGCAATACAAAACATTAATCAGTTCATGGTGATAATTTATCATTCGACTTCTACTTTGCGCTATATGTACTAAATGATCGCAAAACGGGCAGGGACGCAAATACAAACATTGATTTCTGCTCTAACATTCGAATCATTTATTCGTAGATTTGTATAATTAAGTGGCGAAAGTGAAATTTTGAAATCATAATGCACAGATACAAAAACATACCAAACATGTTTTGATTCTTATTCTAAAAAAAAAAAAGGCAAATTTTAAAAGATCATTTTAAAAGGAGGGAGGCGCTATAGCCAAGTGGTAGAGCAGAGCAGCTCGTAACCGGGAGCTCCCTGGTTAGAAACCAAGTCGATATGCTATGGTAAGGCATAACTCAACATTACATTTCGTTCGGAGAGGTCTTAAACCGCGCCGGTCCCCTGTTTGCCTAATTCAGAGCATACACATGCTTCATATAGCAGTCAGGAGAAAAAAAAAGCGAACGGTACAGGAAGCTACATTATGGATAGGCTTAAATTGAAGGTTTGACTTAACTAGGGAGAAGAAAGATAACATCAAACAAAAGATCTACTCATGATGACGCTCTTTTCATTTCACCTCGCTGTAAGTAGAGTTATTATGGAGCGAATACAAAAGAAAAGTTCGCTCTAAAGGTAAAAACATAGAATGCCGTGGCAGGATTTCACGCGGCCGAGCAAGGCTATTGTTTGATCGCTATAATTGTCCGACTTGCTATAGATTCTTGTTTAGCTACAATAAGGCTGCGTATTATGTGTGTGTGGGGGAGGGGGGGGGGGGCGAAGTGAACGGCCGGACCAAAATGGCAGAGGCCCATCAGGAGGGCTCCGCTCGCTAGTTATAAGGACCGCTATTCACTGGACAACTATTCATGAAGACCGCTATTCGTAATTTGAGAACATGGTCATTATGTATAAGGGTCATGAATTCGTAATACGACATCCCCCTCCCCAGAACTAAATAAATAAATAGAAAACATGAATAGATTAATAAACTTAACTAATGATACAATAACAAATAATGCCCGGTAATTGGGAATAGCCGCCTATGAGCGGAACAATGGGCGCAACAACTATTAGCTGCTCAAAGAGCTGTCTTTTGTCATTGCGTTGCAATAACAAAGTGCTTGTAAAAGTTACATGTACTATAATATCCGTATGCTATATAACACCCAATGTGAACATAACGTGTTCAGGCCTTATAACTATACACAGTGCGCGTTAAAACAAAAGACTTTACTAGCGCTAGCTAACACATTTGAAACGTCAAAACGTCACGAACAATTGACGACAAAAAATTGTTACTACAAATGCCACCACCAAAACAGTTTCTTCGCGAAGAAATATTCGATCGAATTTCATGTTTGGAACAGATAGGCGATTTCGAATTGTTCCATCTACCGAAACGTTTTGATGATGCAGGCTCCCGACAATACGACTATCATTTTTGTAATATCTTTAATTTGCAGATGTTTGTTTGTTTCGTATGACATATTTATAAACGCCCTATAATCTTATTTCAAGCAGAATCTTTCAATCTCTTTGATTATAAGTATCATTTTTAAATCACGGGTTTTGAAATACAATAGCTAATTTTGCGAAGATTTAGAGAACCTACGTTTCTATTCTTTAAATCGATCTTGCATGAGAAAGAACAGATTGATGATATAGATATATGACCTATTTTGATCGGATGACAGAACAAAATAAATGTAATATGAAACAAATAATGTGTCAAAACATACAGAAGGAATACAATTATACATATCGTTTTTGTTTTGTTCGTGAACAAATTAATATAATACAAGTATTGAACACATTAATGAACAGAAATGAACAACCATGCCAACGTCAACGCCTACACAACTTCGATGTTTGGGAGGGAAATAAACAATCAGAACAACAATGTAAATCAATGTCTTGTACGTAAAATAATAATAAAACATATCAGTAGCCAAAGTGCAAATTTTAGAGTCAAATCTTTCAAGACGAGAGCGGACGCACACGCGGGGATTACACGAATAACTAATGCGTAGGAACGGGCGCGAAAGCTTTTCTTTAAGCTCCCATTCAAAAATTCACAATTCACAAAAAGCGCTTCGCCGTTAAGCGTACCGCCCCCCCACCCCCCCCCCCCCCCAATGAGTGTTATGTAGGGTACGCATATGCATTTTCCCTCCTTTTGAAAACAGTCGCCTTAGTCCGGTGTGTAAAGTCAATACGGGCCGGATTTGTGTGTACTAGACGAGCCGGACTTTGGTGCGTGAAAAGTACCCTTTACCAGATAGTAACAATGAGTCTCCAAACAATAGCCAGATTTGATATTCATATTGTGAGCATGTGCTTAGTTATATCGGGATTCCCTGGTTATATTGAAGACGTGGGCTAATATCTGTTTGTCCAGTATTTCTCCCTGATTGTTTGACCACTCATTAAATTGCTATTGTCCATGCAGCTGACGTTTCTATAGGCTTTTCTACCCTCGGCGCTAAAGGGATTGCGGAAAATTTAAACACTATTTGTGTTTCTTGATGACCCAGTAAAAGAAGAAGAAGGGCTAGCCACCACCCCCCCCCAAAAAAAAAAAAAAATTTAAAATAAAAAGAAAAAGAATAAAAAAATGGCCCCAAAACAACACAATCATTATTAATTCCGTTTACTACTTGATACCAACACGTGCATGATAGATCCCCCGGATGGATCCTGATTTAGACAGTGAGACAGTTCTGTTACGAGAAGCAATTCAACGAAATGCCATGGTTTGTATTTGTTCTCGAACGAATCTAGAACAATTCAGCACAATATATACGTATTTTAGTTCTTCTCAACTATGACCTGGATCTAAAACTGGCCGCGGATGTAACCCCCCCCCCCCCCTCCCCCTTCTTCGCAAAGAAATATTCGATAAAATTCTTTGGAACAAAATGATAAACTAATTTCTTCTTGAGATATGTTCGAGGTGAAATTTCAAACATCATTTCCTGGTAACTCTCTTTTTTTTAATGCATGCTCTATTCTTACGATTTAGGCATAATTTACTATGTTAATTTGCAATTGATAATTTCCCTGGGAGTTTTGCGATATCCCCGATGATACGGGTACAGTGTATTTTATTTTGTTCGTAACATTAGTGTTTTGCAAAGAAAGAACATTCTGAAAATGAGCGTCTTCCTTCTAACGAAACATATTGATGATGTTCCCGACAATACGGATATCATTTGCATAAAAAAAAAATCGTAATACAGATAAAACGCTTTTTAAATCCAATTCAAGGAGAATTTACGACATTCTTGATTAAGTATCATTTTCAACATCACGGATTTAAAAATACGTTCTCTAATTTTAAGAAGATTTAAAGGATCTATGTATTGAAATAACAGACTGATGATATAATTATATGATTTATAATGATCATACGACAGAACTGTTTACAAGATGCAACGAAAATTAAAGAAAACAAAACAAGAAAACCGAAACATGCGATAACATCGCTAGAGGAAATATACACAATTTTAATGTGATATGAAACAAATACAGTGTCAAAACATGCACGAGGAAAACAATGTCAGAGAGAGTGGGGTAAGTATAAAATAAAGTTGTTTTGTTCGTGAACAAATCAATTTGTATTAAAATTGATATATTGAACACAATCATGAACAGAACAGGAGAAGATGAAATAATGAACAATCATGCCAACGTTAACGACTACAGAACTCCGATATTGAGAGTAAAATAAACAATCAGAATACACATTGTAACCAATGTCATGTACGTAAAATAATATTAAAACAAATCAGTAGCCAAAGTAATGCTTTTCAGAGTCAAATCTCGCAAGACGAGAGCGACACACAAGCGGGCACTACATGAATAACTAATGCGCCGGACCGGGCGCGAAAGGGCGCGAAAGGGCGCGAAAGCTATTCAAAGTTTAAGCTCCCATTCACAAATGTCAAGTGCTTCACCGGGGCGCGCCCCGGCGGGGTAATTTCGTAACAATGAGACGCCAAACAAAAGCCAGATTTTAATGAGCTGGAAACCAACTGAAGTCCTCTCGTATCCGACGCAAAAAGGCGCAAATGGGCGCAATAAGGCGCCTCCTTTGTTCTCATATCCTGCTCTGCGCCCCGACGCGTCGCGGCACAGTCGCAACTTTGGAAGGCTCCCCTTACATCATTCATCAAAGGTTCAATGCTGAAACAGAAATCGTGGTACTTTTCAGTTGTTTCTGAATGTCAAATCTCCCGATGTTTACTTTGCAGAATGCAGAAGAGTAAAAATTGTACACATTTAACTCTTATCCTGCCATAAAGAATACAGCCCAGTGCCACAGGGGTAACCCCCATTCTGCCAAGTTACAAATGCCCCCTGTGCCAAGTTTATTTTGAGATAATCTGATAATCTGCTAATACGAATGCAAGCATGCATGCATAAAACAGCTAAGCTGTGGCCCGCTCACATGAATTAAGCAGCCAATCGATAGGGCGCTCGTGTGTACAAAGCACTATAACGGTAGCGTGCATGCGACTTTATGGCAGGATAGGTGTTAAAACATTAACATGTTCTACTCACCAATAACAGCCTCTCCATTGACCTCATGGTATTGACCCGACGAGTCTGTGATCTCCCAATGACGACTCAATAATTTACATGATCCTAGGTTAAGAGTAAGAACACGGGAATGGATTTTACAGATCCTAGGTTAAGAGTAAGAACACAGGAATGGATTTTACAACTAATCCCTGTCTACCCCATCAATTTGGTAGAAATCCAGCTCAGAAAACTGACATATATCTTTCGACAATTATCCGCTTGGACAATGATTTGGGGGAGGGGGGGGGGGGATATTGCAATGGGGGTTCATTACCTTGGTTTCTCTGGGGGGTGTTTCACAGAGCCTTTTTTTCAATGACAAATGACAAAAGTCAGTGACAAATCTGCTGATGACCAATCAGAAGCAAGGATTTTAGTAACTTATAACAAAAACTGTCATTTGTCACTGATGACAACTTCTGTGAAACACCCCCCTGGTGGATAGCTGGTTAGTTTTCCAGATAAATGCTTTTATGACTTGCTATAACTGTATTATATCATTGTTTTTTGTAATATGTATCGTTACAGATCTACATGTATAAAGTCCATTATCTGACACCTGGGAGTTGTTTTGCAAAACCGTTAGAAGTAGAAGATCAACGACATCTCGACGCTGTCACTCAACTTGTCTGCTAAGTGTTTTACAAAACAGTCCTAATAAAGACGAGCAACAAATTCTCTGGCAAGAGACTTGTTGTGACTCCAAAACTGTCATATTTTGTTTAATGCCATCACAAGTCTATTTTAAGTTAGTCTACGGGCAGCGCAAAAATGAAAACTGCACATTTATTTTGAAAATTATTTCTCCAAGCTCTCACTTTATTAACAGTTGTTATTGGTGCATTACACAAGCATGCAAACTGTTCTTATAATATTTTGTCGCCTGAACTATCATTTGTGCAATGGCTGTCTTCAAGTTTTACATTTTACAAAAATTTGAGTGAAAACCGAGTCTCATAATCTCTTTGTGAAATTTAGGATAAATCATATGAAATTAGAAATACTACTTACCGACTGGAGGTACATTTTCATCCATCGTCATGGAGATCTGATACGCAAACAGAGTCCTCATTTTATTATTCTTCCAGATGTGACTGAGACAAGGCACAAATGATGTTGCCACGGTAACCTTCACATCTCTCGTGACTGCCACACAAGTTGGTTCATGGTAAAACCTATGAACAATTAGAGACAAAATATCTTAGCAGGTGAATGAAGAAACAAAGTAAATTTACAAGAAAAAAGAAAGGCAAACAATTGTGTGCTGTGGATTACTCTCATTTTATTCTTGAAATGGTACGATTAATTCTCCTTATCCTGTTCTTTTCTGACGGTAGACCCCTGTCCTTTTTTTTCCCCCATCAAAATTGAAATGATATCTGTTTTTATTTTTTTTGTTTACCTTCTTCCTTTCTTATTTGATTTTATACTCTCTCTCTCTGTTTCCTCTTTACAAGTCATGCCTGAAGTATCAGACATCTTTTTTCTCTGATTATCAGATTTACTATCATTATTGGTCAACTCCAAGTGTAGACACAGAAGGTAATGTTCTGCCCATTTGATAACAATGTTATCTAAAATAAAATATTAGATCTATATGACTTTGATGAAGGGTTGATAAAAAAAACTTGATCATGTTTTAATGTTTGTTGAATTAAAATTGAAACCAGGAAGTCATAGGGCCTGAAATCAATGATAAAGCTTCATTCGGATATGACGCAACAAACCACTGTGTTTTAAAGACCTAAAGTGTAATACGCTTCACATTTCTGCTTTTTATAACAAAGAGTTCAGTAATTACGGGTAGGACCTTTTTTACGTACTGTTGCAATTCATTTACAAATAAAAACAAAACTGCTGCAGCGTTTTCAAAGCAGTTTGCTGCGTCATATCTGAATGAGCCTTAATCCTGAAAGCTGGCATCCCAGAGTGTGATAAAACAAAGTAAAGAATCTTGTAGGCCGACCTACCTTGTAATTTTAGACGAGTCAACAATGAGCTCTGGGTCCTCAAGCCTGGTGGCTAGTTTCTCTAACCACTCCACGTAGCTGGATGCCACTACGAAATACCCTGCAAACTTTTGTCTCCTCACCTTAAAGATATCAAAGATAATAAAAAAAAAATGATTCTTCTTGTTATTACAATAAAACCTCATTATATCAAATGCTTTGGGACCAGGGAAATTACCATGCTTTCTTGAATTTTGTTATATCAGGGCCCTGTCTTACAAAGAGTTGATATTAATCGCAAGATATTTGCGATCGATATCAATTGCAACTATGTACATAAAGGATAGGGAACTGCAAACTTGCGATTGATTAGAAGACTGACGATTGATTTGCATCAATCGCAACTCTTTAAAAGACAGGCCCCAGGACTAAAGAGACAAAAGAATATGAAGGACTAGGATCAGCATATTTACCTTGATTCTATGAGAAATTGTATTCTCTGTATTAAACAATAAACAGTGCACATTTGAACAACAAGATAATCTAAGCAATTACCCCCTCGTTAATACGGCCCTAACCCGATTGGAGAAGAGAGCCAGGAGCAAATATTGCTAGAGCAAGTAAGTGATTGAGAGAGCATATATTCTCATTTATTTGTTCCGCTATGTACAATTAAAAAAAAAAAGTTAACGGTATGTCATGCATAATTTCATGTTTACATCAATATATTTGATAACAGAGTAATACATACATATGAGCTAGTAATACAAAGAAATACAAAGAAATGAAAGAAAAGGGTGTCCCGAACAAAGCTTCAAGAGCTTGTCAGGAGAAGATCACCAGAGCAACAACGAAAAAAGAAGATACATGTATATCTATACATTAAAACAAACAAAAACAAAAAATTAAAGAATAGTTGTATACAAATGAATCATGCTAACGACAGCCGGAAGGGGTGTGGCCGTTGCGACGCCACACTCCAGCGGAGCACCTCACAGGGATGATGTCTTACCTGGGTGAGATAGTAGACGCATCCTATAGGCAGCCCTGGTTTCTCATTCACACACACAACCTGACCATAGTTTGTGTAGGGACACCAACTCAGTGCTAAGATACCCTAATAGTGAAGATAACATGTTATCATAATAACATTAATATTAATAATGAACATTAATGTACATTTGCATTTGGCTACAAATTATAGAAAGAATATATGTACAGACCTGTAAATGCAGGATTGACAAAGAATGAAGAAAATTATTTTTTTTCTTCTTCAATAGCTCTCTTAAAGGTACTATGTCCCTTTTGCAGCCAACCTCAAATTCTGTAGAAATTTGCAGGAATTATGAATGTCCTCTCTGTGAAATTGAACGTCAGCAGTGTCCTAATATTCAAATTATGCAAGGAAACCTGTTTACTTGCTAGAGTTCACTGTCAGACACTGTTGAGTGACTGACTGGCTTTTTTTCTTCTTTGGTAACAACATACATAAAATTAGCTGTAAAGGGTACATGAGCATTTGTCTACATCAATAACCTACTTCTTGTGATGACCAAAATTAAACTGATTGAATCTTTGCGCAGCATAAAACGTATGACCATTCGGTACAATGGTCTGAAAATCAAGACTATTACTTATTGGCTCTATAGCTTCTAAGTCGATTTGACAATAGTCATTATTTTCCAGCCCCACCTTTTTTAGGGAAGTTCTAAATTAGTATTATCTTTCAAATGCCGTTGGAATTTAACCTTTTCATTTTTTTTGGCCTGCAAATGGGACATTGTACCTTTAAAAATAACTTTTTTAGTAATTACAGGATCCCAGCATTTCATGAATAAAAAATTCCCAATTTTTTTCCCAGGTGTAGTTTTCGAATTCCATGATCATTGTTTACCACATTTCCAGTATGAAATGCCTCAAAACATCTCCTAAATGGATGTGGGACATTATATAATATCAAGAATCTGACTACTTTTTATTTTGGGTCAATGAAATTCACAACCTTTTCCCCTGATTTCCTCGACTGGTTCTCACTAAATCATTATTAAGCATAGGCAATTCAAAAACATAAGAGACGCAGGACTCACTATCTTTGGCAAGACGTTTTTCACATTGAATGCCAGCGGCACGGCCACCTCCATGCTGTGGTGGTCATAGACCTCCAGATTCCCTAGAAGGCACCCCTTCCCTGGCACAACGTCCTGGCCGTTATGGATGAGATAGGAACAGGCTAGTTCCAGAGGTAGAGGGCAACCCATCATGGTCTCTATGGTGTCCAACTCACTTTGCTCTACAGGACCTGATAAAAGAGAAGGCAATCAAACATGATGTAGCATCCATATGTCCATGATCAGAGTCATAGAAGGTCGTATAAATGGAAAGAAGAAGAAGGGAAGACCTCGTAAAGACTTTCTAGATGATTAAATCACAGAATTTAGAGCAACAAGATATGAAATGCTGAAACGGATGGCTCAAGACCGAGGTACTTGGAGAGACACTTGATATAGGATTCTGATTGGGTCACTGAACCTGTCATAAACTGACAGATCACTATTGATGATGTCCATGAAGACTGAATTTTGTTTTGTGTTTCCTATCTTCCTTATCGAATAGAAGGAAACTGGTACGTATATACAACAGGCCATTTTTCTTGTGATCCATTATAGTAATTATATTCCATGATTGACTGATTAGTGAATTCTTGAGATATGACAAAAATGTTTGTGAAGCAATTATTCACAGACAAAAGTATATCAAATTCATATTTGGTGAAAAGTTTGAAATGCTCTACATGCACAGTACTGGAATAAAAAAAAAAATATTATCCCAATCTAATGAAAAATACAGACACTGAAAGTTATAATAATAATATAATAATGTTTTATTTACCCAGGGTAGCCACTTCAGTTAATATGAAACTGTTCTTCCAGCGGGCCCTGCATAACATAATATGTTATTACTACCCTTCTCCAATCTAATATGCTGAGCGCCTAGCTAGAAGGCAGAAAGTCCCATTATTATAAGTCTTGGTATGACTCGGCCGTGGTTCGAACCAATGACCTCCAGTTCATGAGGCGGGCGCTCTAACCACTGAGCCACCATGCCCGGTATAGTTAATGTACGATAATGGAAAGCTACATGAATGTAGGCTAACTACACGTGTGTACATGTACATGAAAATATCTTTAACTTTCACTGGGCAGTTTGATGAACCATCAATATTTAAATGTTGTTCAGAAATGTAGCGGTGAACAGCTGCATTTCTTTCTAAATGACGACGTAAAATGTAATATGCTTCACATTTCCTATCTTATTACACAGAGCCATTTAAAGAGAATATGCTGCAGCAGGTGCCATTTACTTACATGGTTAACAAAAAGTGGTAGTAGGAGGTAGGATAAGTAGACTTTATCGGATATGCTTATTAAACTTATTTATCACAAGGTTAATCTGCCATGAGGTCCATGAGCCTTAATCACATGCACATTTCCAACACAACTAGAAATAGTTTGTATTATGCCTCAGTCACACCTTTGCGTATTTGGGTTGTGTATTGCTGCATATTTATGGCTAGCCGTTTTAACATTCATTCCTATTTCTTGATATCAAGAAATAGGAATAAATATTAAAATGGCTTGCCATAAATATGCAGCAATACACAACCCAAATACGCAAAGGTGTGACTGAGGCATAATTCTGAACACTTCTAAAAATTGTTTATATCTATATATCGATACCTCTGAGAGATGTCCTGGTGCCTGGACTCCTTTCCTCCAAGGCCTTCTCTATCCTGTTCCATGCAGACTTGACCTTGACATAGCAACCCATGTATTTGCCCCATTTCTTGTGCCAGGCAAAAAAGTTTTCCTTCCATGAATCTGATGAATGCGTTCTCCTAAAGAGAAAAAGATATTGAGGGGTTAGTGACACAAAGACGTAACTCCATTTTGGCCATTTTGAGAAAAAGTTGTTTATGTGTCACTGAGCTATGTTTCACCAGCCATTGACTTCAATGGGGTGTTGGGTGGAATTAAGTCTTTGTGTTTCCTGGAAAGCCCACATTTTTCTGAACATTTTGATATGAAATACTCATTTTGGCAAAATATGGAATTACGTCCTTGTGTCACTGAACCCTCGATTTGAGGAAAATCAGAATTCCTTGTTGAAAGACTGCCATACAAGCATAGCTTTAACAAAACCCAGTTCCCTGGTAGTCTCGCAGATATACATGTAGGTATCCATGTACAGTAAGACCGAAGCCCTAAAATGTCCAACTTTTAACAAGGGGGCTGTGTATAAAAAATACTGTAAATATAAATCTGCCCCCCCCCCCCTCCCCCAATCTTATGATAAGGAGTAAGATTGTTTTGTTGCAAGGTTTAACGGTTTGCTTTTCATTGACTGCACCATCATTAATCAGCATTTTGTATTCTCTCGAGTAGCCAAAATATCCAAAGCACCACATCCATTACTCTTTTCTTCATTTAAATTTGCTACCATGCATTACTTCCTGGACTTGATTAAACTTTCTTTTAAGAAAAAGTAAAAGAGGCTCATGACAATTATTAGAACTCACTCTGTGTCCAACCAGTATAGGACTGAAAGCTTCTTCCAGATGTTCTCAGAGTTTGAAAGCTGATTTAATCTTTGGCATGTGCATGCTACACACCTGTATAGGGTCAAACAAAAAATGAAACAAATTACTGCATTTAAAGTTAACAAATGTTCATGTTCCAATGGAGTGGATTCATAAATATAAAAGCACAGCTTCTTTCTCTAATTTGAGAAAACAGATTCTTGCCACAGAGTGTTGTCCCCCTGGAGATTGCTATCAAGGTCTGCAGGGGGAACATCTATACTGTTCAATCAGTAACTTTATAAAGCCAGAAATTAATGCCATCCTCTCAAAGAAATACAACATATTCACATACTTAGCTCGTTAAGTTTCCTGAAAAGCAACAGTCATTACTACAAAACACAAGAAAATTTGCCAGTGTTACATCGTATAGCTGGCAAATGATGTTTATAGACAATAAGTGGGAACACTAATTGTTATCTGGCATGCGTGATGGAATTATCCAATTCGGTTGCATCAAAGGTGTTTAATTTGAATATGAAAAGAGGGGATACAAAATAAGGGTGCGGTGTATAGGAGGAGTAATCTGGCCTTCCAAGGTCCGCACACTAGCACGTTTTTTTAAGAGTCTCCAGCTACATTACGCCTATTTTCTAACATGGATCCGGCAAAAGTTTCTGAACTCATTGATTCAAAAATTAAACCAGTCTCAAAATAGATTGCTAACGGACTTGGACAGTTCAATAACTAATAGGTCAATCAATTTTCACCAATCTATTAATGACAACCGGAAAAAGTCAGTGCCGCACAAGTTGCAAAAATCGAAGAAATGCACACCAAAAACTTCAGCAGAAAGGAAACGGAGCGACATAAAGTGAGCGTAAAATTCATAGGAAACTAAAAGAGGCCGAGGATTGTCTCAACGATTCCAAAAGATACGTCAGGAGCTGTCGCAGGTGTGAAGGGCAAAATCATCGAAGGTACAGTTCACCATTAGAATGGAAGTTGGTTGCTGAATATGAAGAGGGAAAATGCTAAGAAATCTGTTTTCTGGCACTCTGGTCGTATAGTTAATACATGTATAGTCATCGCAGCGGTGTCGTCAGCTTCATTTCTAGAGTGGCGGGAATTTCAAATCGGGCCGCACTTGGCCTGGTGCACCGGACAGGCTGGTTAACTGGACGCCTATCCTTGTATGTACACGGCGGACCATATTTCAGACAGTGACTGATCAATAATTTAAAGGCGATACCATTTATGCTCCTCTGTATTTTTGTACCGTACCATTCAACTTCAGTTGGTTAACAGCTTTTAACTAAGGTTAGACCAACCTGAAAACTTATCATTGCAATTTGCACTCCTAACGTCAACTTACTAATCATATTCACTCTAGTCAAATTTGTTGCCCATAAAAAGATGGCTTTGGGTACCTCTTCGGGTTTGGGAAGACAATGGCGAGTCATTTGAAACTGCCCATGATCAAGATCATGACCATGATTTTCTTTCCCAAAAATCATCTGTAGAGGAAATGGACAATCTAGACAGTGAGAGGAAATAATGAATTTTGGTATACTGTCAGTCTAAAACTTGAGTATTATTAGTGCCAAACAGAGTAGAATGGAAACAGATAAAAGTATGAATATGGCTTTATCCATGTCTTCTCTTGATTTTTGTTGAGACTTTGCTGCTGATACGGAGATCTAAAAACAATAATTATTGGCAAGACTTTGTTGCTGATAGGAGGATGATGGAGGAGGAGGAGGAGGAGGAGGAGGAGGAGGAGGAGAAGAATAAGAATAAGAATAGAAAAAGAAAAGATTGTGGAATAAGAGGCAAATTATTCTTTCTTCAATTTCACGATCAATTTACATTCACTTGTGAATAGTTACAAATAAGATTACAAATTCTTCTAGGAGTTCATCGCAATTTTCAGTAAATAGATTGCACAATATTCCATCTTCCTTGTAATCTCTACCCATTTTTTTTCTTCTTCTTCTGACCAACTTGAACTACACATTCTATGTGGATGAGAAGAAGAACAACAGCAACAAAAAGTGAAAGAGGAGAATGAGGTGAATGAGGAGGAGAATGAGGAGGAGGAGAATGAGGAGGAGGAGAATGAGGAGGAGGAGAATAAAGAGAAGGATAAAGAGGATAAAGAGGAAAAAAGGAGGAGAAAGAGGAAAAAAGGAGGAGAAAAAGGAGGAGAAGAATGAAGAGAAAAGGGAGGGGTAGAATTAGGAGAAAGAGGAGGAGAATGAGGAGTAGAATGAGGAGGATGAAGGAGAAAGATGAAGGAGAAGGATGAAGGAGAAGGATGAAGGAGGAGGATGATGAAGGAAAAGGAGGATGATGAAGGAGAAGGAGGATGATGAAAGAGGAGAGGATGATGAAAGAGGAGAGGATGATGAAAGAGGAGGATGATGAAAGAGGAGGAGAATGAGGAGAATGAGGAGGAGGAGAATGAGGAGGAGGAGGAGAAGAAGGAGGATGAGGAGGAGAAGTAGAATGAGGAGTAGAATGAGGAGAAGGGTGAAGGAGGAGGAGAAGGGTGAAGGAGGAGGAGAAGGAGAATATAAGAAGAGAAGGAGAATATAAGAAGAAAAGTCTGGACTAAGAAGCATACCTGACCAGACATTGCATGTCCAGATAGTCCAGGATCTTAATGATAAGCTCATCTGGAAGCTCTAGAAGACAGGCTGCTGCCATGCTGAATTAAAACTGTTGGAGAGCTGCTTCTGTCCTGTGAAAACATTCAGAGAATAAGTATAAAATGTGAACTTGAGAGCAAAACTGAAACAAGAGATACATGTAGCATTCAAATGGAGAGAAAATATTAATGCAAGACTAGATCTAAGAGCATATAGAACTGCAGTACAATACAGCTCAGAAGTAATTTGGCATGCGGGATCTCCACGCCGGAGTTATATGGGTCAAAAATGGATACGGAAGTACACTAGCGCCCATATCTACGCATATCTTTCTTGCTCCCTCGACGAGATGACTCCACCCAACAACCCCCCCCCCCCCCCCCTCATTTCTCTCTCTCTCTCTTACTCCCAATAGATATCTAATAATAATTAAATAATCTAGTTTTAGTCCACTCCAAATTTTATTAAACCGAAAATGGAAATTCTTTTTGCCCAATGCACCCCTTTTCTCTTATGCTCTTATTTTACCAATCATCATGCCAATGCATCCCACTTCTTTTGTTTCATTTTCTTCTTTTATCCTTCTCTCTTTTCAGTCTTTTCCCTTTTTTTTCTCTCCTTTTTCTTTCTTTCTCTTTCTTTCTCTTTTCTTTCTCTTCTGTTCTCCTCTTTCCTTTCCTTTTCTTTATCTTTTCCTTTCATTCTCAACTCTCATTTTTCAGACGGCAGCGCAATTTTACCCTCGGCCTTCCTATACTCCTACTAAAATATGTAGCTCCTCCGCGATCAGGTGAGGCGAGGCGGGGTACGGGGTGGAGCTCCGCATAAAAGCGTTGACTTGGTCTTGTGGGGGAGGTGCAAAGACGTTTAAGGTGCATGTATCTGCGCGGTCTAAATTTTGGCTGGAAAATGATATAAATAGTCTCCAAATAAGCTTCTCTAAGTTCTCTTCAGTCCTCGAGATCATTAACTGTTTTAGTGTAGAATGGATCATCTCACCTGAATCAAATGTAGATCTATGGAAACTCTTCCTTCTCAAATATAAGGCACTTCAGCTTTAAATATTAAAAACAATCTCTGACCTTGTTTTCATTTGATAGACAGAAGATATAAGAGCGCCTCTTCTTTCATGCCATAGAGGGTTTTGGTCGACGCTGAAGCGTGCGCACAGAATTCAGTGTGATTCAGTATTCAAGTTAGATACTGTAGCGCATTGTGTGCATTAGCTATCGCGTTACGCCGAATCCTTTGAGCAATATGCCATTGCATGCTGGGAATAAATTCCATCCAAATAGAGGAGTAAGAGAGCGATCCTGAGACTACAATTTCAAGAAATATTGGTACGTAAAGTTCATTTTCAAGGCTTCCATCGGTTATTTATCAGAGAACATCATTCAGCTCTATGTATCGATAGTGGTATATTGCAAATGCACTTCTAGGTCAAAATACACCCTTCACACTTGACGTGTTTCCATGCCCACCAGCGACGCTAAGTAAGTACATCACCCTGCTGCGGACAGTACTGCCGAGACTCCCGGCGCAAATGCTCACTACGTCTACGGTCTTGGTGAGGTCGTGCTCAGCTCGCCTAGCCTGATCTGAGCGGGTGCAGCTTTTCTTCACACAGAGCTGAGCTGCGCTTGAGCTTGTTGAATCGAAATAGAAGCAGAAATATGATACCACTACACTACTATTTATTAATGGAAAGAGGAGCCTACATGTAACATTACCCAGAGACAAAGTTTTTTTAACGAATTGGGTGTGAAATTATGAAAATATTGACAAAAGATTGGCACATTTTGCATTCTTTTGCGTTCGTTCTGAGAAAAAATATGAACGTACCAACAAGGGTCTGGAAATTTTGAGAGCAGATGGCATCAAATTTAAATTTTATGTAAAAAGTGGTACCCACTGATTGTAATTGTAATGAAATTTTGCCTTTCAAATATCTTAGAATCTATATTTGATTGATCGCTTTCACTTTCAGTTTCAGATTTTGAGATCACGATATCTCCAGAATTCTTTGACTAGAAAATCTATAGGTATACATTTTCTAGTTGCACCAATTTGCAGTCCATTTAGTAATTTTGAAGTAAATGAATTTGTGTAGAATATGCATGAGAAATCCATCATCAAATATCTCATTTCCTAATATTTAGACCCTACTGATCTTTATTCTCTTCCCTTTCCCCCTTTTTCTTTTCAATTTGCAAGTGTCTTTAATTGCAACTTCTTATTTTTATGCATGATGCTACTCAGGCTAGCCTTGGGTAATGAATATAAATGAGACAATTAAGAGAAAGAGAGAGAGAGGGAAGGGGGTGGGGGTTGGATGTCTGTAAACTTACAATGGTTTTGTGGACTCGTGTCCTAGCTAAAACCCAGGTCAGGTCTACATGTAATTTATTGAAAACACTTTCACAAGAAATGAACCTGAATTACAATATTTTCTTGTTGTCTTCCTTGATTCCAGACAGTTGAATTATAAGCACAATGGCTATGCAGAACCTGCACCTCGCTGGAGAGGATGAGGATGAGATGTACTCTGGCTACAATGAATATAATCCATTCTTTGACACAGAGGTAAGAGTTTGAAAGACATGGTTAAACTATTACCTACAGGAATGGATTGGCTTCTGTATTTAGCCTTTGAGAATGAGGGAGTTCAATAGTAATATTTTAGATATAATAGTTTTGTGTGTTGCCTTAGGATGATGAATATTTAAACTACCAGGGGGTGCTTCACAAAGCTCCTAAGTCGAACTTAACTCTAAGTTGGACTTAAACATTACGGAGAGCCATTTGTAGCCTTAAAATAAGATATATTTAAAAACGAACATTCAAGTATTTAGACTTTTCATTTTATGCCTTTTAAAATAAGTTTTTAAAAATATTTTCAAAGATGCAAACAGCTTTCCATAATTTTCAAGTCCAACTTAGAGTTAAGGTCGACTTAAAATCTTTGTAACTCCCCCCCCCCCCCCCCCCCCCCCCCCCCCCCCAGAATGCTTTTAAAAAGCAGTTGAATGAATCATGGCTTTGTTGCATGGCCATTTTTTTTAAACAGAAGAATATATTATAATCATTTTCATTTCAGCCATATAGGATATTAAATCTTTGAATAGAACAGGGGCTGATAACTGTACTGTAAACTTTCTGTTTGCACCCATATATTACACTTATGTACATGGTTACACTTGGTTGCATTAAACATATTATTCTTTTGCCAAAGAGTATGAATAATTGCAATGTGTACATGTCTCCTACATGCAAGACAATGCTGGGCCATAATTTAATAGAGTTTATGTGGATGTATTTTAGATATTATATATAATTGGAAATATATAATTATTTATTTTTCTTTTACCACTGCAGAATCTAGAGCAAGATGAGACATTTCAGAAGACTGTACAAAAAACAAGTCATGGACGAAGACCACCTGTAAGTTTGAAATCAGCAACATTTATGCTCTCACTCTCAACATGTCTAAATAATTGTCCTTACAAGTTGTTTGATATCCCTCTGAATCTGCCCATAGAGCTTTAAATTTCTAATTGCGTTCTTTCAAGTATTTTTTACCACACTTATACATTCTATGAGGGTCCTTCTGGGATATATCTGGGAGAGAGGACAAAATTATTTACTAAAGCTGTAGGTTATACCCAAGTCACACCAATGAGACCAACACCAGACTAACATCAAACAGAACAAGATATTACCTTACTTTGAACAGTGAAGAATTGGTTGGTTTGTAGTTGGTTTGTCATTGGTTTGCTCATGTGACTATACATTCATTCTTACAATCTTTGTTCTTGTACATCTTGTTGGTGCTCTTCTAACTGCATGAAGATTTTATAATTGACTTTTTCACCTTTCATATTCTATTCCTTTACAATACAATGTACTGTAGTAGTACATGTATGTGTAACTCTCTTCCCCCTTTTTATAACTTCTTTAACTTTGTCACATGATTGTTTTAGCTCAAATTGCTATTATGATCCCTACTTACTCTGTGCATGCTTTGTAGCTAAGTGTTTTATGCTAAAGTATAGACTTTCACCTTTCATCTTTATCTTTCTGATATAAACCATTTTATCTCTGCATCTCAAACGTTCGCTTAGATGACAGCTATTAGGCAGGGTCAGGTGAGAATTTCCCTCTTGCATTCTACTAATACCTTAAATGGTTAAGCTGGATAAGTCAGCATGCAGGCTTACATGTACACTAATTCACTCTGTCATAGGAGTTGGTAATAGATTTATGATAGTACTAAGTCCTTATATCGCGTCGCTACAGGAGAACATACAAGAAAGAAGAATGGATTAAATACTGGTAGAAGAAACGTTATTGATCGTGAGAAGTGGTACCAAGAAGCCAATTTACTGAAAGCATTATAGATAATTAGTACATATAGCTCAATAAGCAGCATTCACACTAGCGACCCCTCCCCGTGAAATAGTCATAATTATCCTGTGAAAAATAATAATAATTATCTTATGAAAATACAAAACAAATCATCAACATCATCTCGTTTAAACTACTTTTTAAATGTATGTGTTGTAAATTGAAATTTTCGGATTTCATTAATCTGATATTTACCTGCATATTCAAGTGCTGTGTGATCGTACTTTGTAAACAACCAAAGTTACTTTGATACAATTTTCCACACATTAAAATTACTTGTTTAGTGTTCATATCAACAATATATTAGTTGACAGTTTTCAATAATTTTCTCCAATGTAATTGGTAAGCCTTGCATCTTTTATTAGCCAAATCATTTTTTGATGAAGAAGACCAATTGAAACATGTTTTTGTATAATCTGATTTTGTATTCACAGATGGGTGCACAGAGAGGCATCATGGGAACAGCGGCAGGGGTAAGTATAAAATGTTTAGCTAATCCTTTAACAACATAATGTGACTGAGCATTATTATGAAACATTTTAAACTGTAGTATACTATTACATTCATATGAAGTTTATTATAAGGTTGAGTGTACATGTATTTCCAGGAGTCTTCATAAAAATTGGTTTCAATTAACAGGCCTGATAAAAACCCAATTTTTTTTTTCTTCCTTATTTGATCCTGTTTTTCCTGATTGCCCTCTTATTTTCTCTATTCTTCCCTTATTTTGCCCTATTTTTTCCCTGGTTTTGTCCCAATTTTCTTACTCGAAAAGGGGGAATGTTGTTAGATGCCATTTTTTCTCCACGAATCCTTTTTTTTTTTTACTCAAGAAGGACGTGGTTGAGGGGAAAACAAAAAACCCATTTTTTTTTAGTGCTCACTATCACCCCTGATTAAAAATGAGAGAGTGTGACAATTCATGTCCAATACAATGATAATAGCAAAAAAAAATCTGAATCATTATCGAGATGTACTTCAATTGAAGAAGGGTAAACAAGGTAAGCTCTTTTTCTTTTTGTGCTGTTCTGATAGCCGTAAAGATAACTATTCTCCACAAGTATTCAGATTTTTGTCAATAATTGAATGGCATCAATCTGAAATTGGCAAGGATCTATTGTTCTGCTATTGAGAAGAAATTTTCTTGATTTTTACTTTTCCTATCTCTCTGTCTCATTTCTTCCATCAGAATCGTCTCAAGACTGGTCTCACATCATCAATGGGAGCTAGGCCCATAACAGGGATGGCACCGCAGGTGAATTTTTGATTCCCTTTTTTTCCAGCCAATTCTTGGAGAATATGGGTCTTGAACTTAGAAAATACAGCTGCATGAGAACAACAAAATAAAATAGCAAAAAACATGTACACTGGATAGTGAAAAAGTAAACCTGATTTTCATAATATTTTGAAGTCTATAAACAGGGGGGGGGGGGGTAGAATATTTGCCAAGATCTTTTGGTTTATAAAGTGCCCATACACATTTGACAAAATCAACAATTTCATTACTTTGTATACATTGATGTGGTCTGAGACCATGGAGATGAAGTCCTTCAATGATCAATGTTTTGTCAACCGATCTTTTTAAGTCTCGAATTGCCGATTAAGATTATATTCTCTGCGAAGTACAACAGGGAACGGTTATCTTTTAATTCTTTTAAGAAGATGCTTAAACGTTTTTATGAAGTTGAGCGAGTTCTTTCTATCAAACGCAATAAAATTTGTTGTATTACTAGATAAATGGAGACATGTCCAACTGATGTAACAATCTTTGTTTTATCAATATTGTTCAAATCTATTGTTTTGTTCTTGCTCAAGAATGATTGAAAACAAAAATTATTGTCATTCTCTCTTCTCTCCTCAGGATGGCAATGTTGCTAGACCAATGACTGCCGTCAAAGCAGCAGGTTACTCATCAACAGGCAGAGGTAAACTTATTTTCCTTTTTGATAAATTATAGGGAGCTAATCATTGCTACAATGTATGATTTAAGAACTCAATGGTTTCTTCTTTCTTATGCAACATAGCCAAACATATTGCTGAAATCACATGGTACTCAAGATTACATTATCGTGTTCGTTGTTTTATTGTGTATACTATAAAATGAATTTAGAATAGCAAGAAATTCAAACAAAATGTGCAACCTTCTTTGTAATAGTTTATCTTGAACTTGTGAAAGTGATCATTTTATTTTGGTGGTCATTTCTGCGAAACAATGCACCTCAAACTTTAATTGACAAGCTAACATATTTTTACAAATCTAAGCACATTACAAATATTCAACTTTGTGTTTGAAATACATTTTGCCATATACTAAATATCTCTTTTTGTTTTGTTTTGTGTACCTCTATACAGGTCAAACATTTGACCCCCTGGGCCAATCATCAAAGGGCCCAGCCCCACCTCTGGAGACCAAGAATGAAGACTCGTAAGTTTTAATACTGAAGTCATATTCTTTAGATTGTACACATCATCATTGTATCCTTTCCTAAACCCTCTTTGCTCTCAATTTACAGTACTCTGTGTATTGTTCAAGATTTAAACAAATATGTTTATCTTGCCCTATTCACAGTTTATATTCTCATCTTAATAATAATAATGTAATAATATTCCGCTTTTATGTAGCGCTTAATGCATCTACGGTGTCTCTAAGCACTTTAAAGATATATTATTACCCCGGTCATTGGATTCAATGCTTGCCTGCACACATTGTGTGCACAATCTCCACTCAGTGGGGAGTATTCCAGCCAAAATTGACACTCAAAATAGCCCTATTCATAGTGAATAATGGTGACATATTGTGTTTATACATAATTTACAATGATGGCATATACATGTACATGTAGTTACTTCCCAAAATGTCAAACAGTTTCTTTTTTGACAAAATCCCAGAGTAATACTAAAAATTATAATTGTATGACTATTCACAGAAATGTTAGAGGACCTGTGTGACCATATTGAAAGCAGCTCAAACATTATATTTATCTCACATATCAAAATTTGGATTTAAAAAAAATTAATCAAAGGTTATTTGTTTCTCATTTTACTGTTATTTTTTTTACCTTTCCACTCATGTGGTAGTTTCGTTTTCATTTATCTCTCATTTATTTCATCTTTTTTCCTATGCTCAGGGCTGAAGAGAAAGTGAAGCAGCTTGAGAAACAAGTGAATGATCTCATAGAAGAAAGCTGTTTCGCTCACAGTAGAGGAGAATTCACCCTGGTAAGAACTTGCTCCCATTTCAAATGTCAAATTTATATCGGATGCATTAGAGATATAATCATAAGAACATATTACAATAATTATGCAAAGGCTGGAAGCATTGGCTTCAATGCCTCCATTCAAGTGAAATAAGATATTTGCTATGCTTGCTATCAAGAAGTAACATTATGATTAACTTCTATTATGTGACTTTGCTTTAGTGGCAAATGCCCCCCCCCCCTTCAAAAAAATAAAACAAAAAACAAAGAAAGGAAAAATAAAAGAGAAAAACAATAAGAAAAATATGACTTTCATTTTATGGAAAAAAAATCATCATGATAAGGAGTACACTCTACACATTGTATATAAAGTAGAATCTGTAACATTTATAATGCCAACACATCTTCAATTATTATCTCAAGAGAATCATCACTTTGTTATGCAGTTTGACTTCAACCTAAATGATTTTTATTGTAAACTATTTGTTTTCCAGGCACTTGATAAAGCAAAGGAGGCTGGTCGACAGGAAAGGCGGCTTGGTTCAGTCAGAGACCAACTCAGTAACAATGAGCAGGTCAACTTAGACTTGACGTACTCGGTAAGAACCCTCTACTGTTTGTATTAAGGCTGCGACGGGTAGTCGAATGCTCGAGTACCCGCACGGTTGACAACTACTCGGGTACGATTTCTTGTACCCGAATATTCGGGCCGCAAAAAAGAATAATTAAAAAAAAAAAAAAAAAAAAAAATGTCCAGGCCCACGCTTACCCGTGCCAGGGAGAGCGGCGTCCACTGGCATGGTACCGTCGGTAAAAATGTTTCCCAACTCAAGCACTGTCAAACTCACCTTTCAGAAACTGGGACCAAATGTCCAGATTTCTGTTTGGACTTGGAGGAAAATGGATTATTCTGCCATCTTTGGTTTTTAAAACAGCATTGTTTACTGTTATTATTCTTATCAAATCGGCGCCTTCAACTGCAACTCATAGTAAAGTTGCATGCGTTTTCAGCGAGGGACCTGAGAAACTGCCGAGTGGTATGGTAGTGGCAAAAAAGAAAAAAAAGAGAAAAAAAATCCAAAAATTTAAAAATTTAAAAAAAATCAATTTTTTTTTTTTTAAAATAAAAAAAATTCAAAAAAATTCAAAAAAATTCAAAAAAATTATAAAAAAACATGGCGTCTGAATATTCGAGTATTAGCCTGTGAGCCTGGGAGTGTACTCGGGTACCTCATTACACTTGTGCACAGCCCTAGTTTGTATCCCAGTATTCAAAATAGTGAAAGGGATTTTACTTTTATAATGATGAATTGACATTCTGCATTTTGTATTTGTATAGGACTAAATTATGTTCCATCAGGATTCACCATATATTTCTGTTTAACAAATAAAAGGATGTGTTATTTTTAATGAGACCTTTCATATCCGTCTAAAAAATGCTGCTCTGATCAACAAAAGAAGGGAACGAAATGTCTTGCAAAAGATTGTGCCAATAATTATATACATTTTGAGTTTAACTTTATTTGGAATATTAAGCAAAGCATTAATTTAGAAAAAACAATATATTTATAGTTGCATTTGGTATCAAGTGTAAAATACTGAATATACTGTATTATACAACTCACTCCAAGATCCTAATCAATTGATTGGTCATGCGCGATCACGTGTGATTCATTTACCGAGCCTATTGCACTCGTTTTCGTGAAAGCCTTATTAAACTAGAGATAAATTTGTCAGCCATATAATCCTGAATGAATTCTTTTTACATCAAATAACAAGGATCTAGGAGTTTTGTTGTATAAAACAAATGATGCATGTTTTGTATACTATATTCAGTAGTTTACACTGGATACCAAATGCAAGTATAAATCAATTAAGACATACATTAATGGCAACAATAGTCATGCATATCCACATTTGTAGTATAAAAAATTTTGTGAGCTGAATTATTGACATGATCATTTTATTTGTATTCCTCTTGACAGGTCTTGTTTAATTTAGCCAATCAATATGAAGCTAATGAGATGTTTACCGAAGCCCTCACCACCTACCAAGTCATCGTCAAGAACAAGATGTTCTCCAATGCCGGTAAGTACATCATCATGGCGGGGTAGTATAATGCAGAGGTGTTGTCTGGAGAATCAGATTCTGGATTGACTGGACCAGGCACAAATCCTGGCCAGTGGATTGTACAGTCATGTTCTTTCCTATAATGAATCTCTACAGGAATTGGCCACAACACGGTTTTAGGACAACACTTGAAGATGTTTACAGACCTCATCTATTGTCGAGAGTCAGTTTGAATGCAACAATGGCCATCTAGTGATAATAAAGATGTGCCTAGTCATCTAATGACGATGGAAACACAATTAATCTCAACAACAACATGAATTTTTAAAAAGAACAAGATTTTCCTAATCAAACACTTAAACACTTGATCGTTCAGTGTAATGTCTGAGACGTTCAAGTCTAATGCCTTTGTGGATTCTTATTGCTCAGCTTACATTTGATTTGTTTCCCTATCCAGGTCGTCTGAAGGTGAACATGGGCAACATCTACTACAGGCAACGCAACTATCCCAAGGCCATCAAGTACTACCGTATGGCCCTAGATCAGGTGCCCAATACACACAAGAGATTGAAGTAAGTCCAGCAAATCTTCTATGTCATTATCACACATGTCCAGGGCATTGTTTCATGAAACCTTCATAAGTACAAGGTCAAAGACATCCCATTGAAATGTGTAAAATACTATTGATACGCATCTCAGGTGGATGACCATGAACTTGCAGTTATGATGTTTTTGTGAAACGATGCCCAGAGGTATTTGTATTTTGTTTGACTAGATTATATTGCTTGCTAACTCAACATAACAATAAATGATGCCAGAATACAAATTATTCAAAGTTAATATAAATTTGGTGACATATCATCACTGTTTTGGATTATAAAACTTTCAGGTAAGAGGATTTAGGATAATTTCAGCATAACAATGAATGATACAAAATGTGATGAAATGTCAAAAAATGAGCACATGTATGTGTACAATAATCTTCCATTTGATAAGGAGCTAGTATTCTATGGTCCTATGACTTACCGCACAATGTCGACCAAGAAACTTGACGGGCATTGACGATAATTCTCCAAGGTGCAAAGATTCAATCCACATTAGATGCAATAATACAGTAAAATCCTCATTTGCATTGATGTTTCCAAGAGTGATGACATTTTCCCAGGCTCTCTGAAGTTTCCTCTCTTGACAAAAACTCTGCCACTGTAACCTTGTAGTAAAGATTTTTGTTGTCTGCCAAGAATCCCTCCTTCAATTCAGTAAAGTCTGCAATCTCTGGAGCACTCAAACCGTGATACAAAATCCTTTGTCAAGTAATCCTCAAAGTCCACCATCTAAAATTAAATTACAAAAGTATAACATACATTAAAGCTCATGTTACAAAAAAGCCATCCAAGCAATAATTCAATAATCAGTAGCTGTAGCCTTGACATTAGAAGTTATGAATAATTCACAATCGTCCATGAGATTGAGCGAAAGCATAAATCCCAAACAGTCCATGACATATGGTAGTCCTAAACTGGCATTACAATTACAAGATCTATGATTCAGACTAATAGAACAAAAATAGACCTGTTTACTAAATACTAAGTTTTATGCATACGTCTTGAACAAAAGTTTTGCTTGACAACATAAAGCTTGACTGACATAGCATCAACTAAAGTATGCAAAGTATATTCTTTCCATAGATATGTTATTGTGCTTAGCAGGTGAAATAAATAGTAACTGGGATTCTGGATAGAAACATTCATTGATTGAATTACATTAGTAAACATTAGTATTAACAAACAAACTGAACAGCAGAGCTGACAGTTACTTTCATTAAATGACATGGAAAGCAAACTATTAAATACAAAATTCCTTAGTGCATGAATAACAAGTTGTTTCATTGATAAATCACAACAAACATAAACTCCTCTGTTTCACAGCTCAACACTACTTGTCCACTTTACATCAAACAAGTTCATTTTGGAGATACCAACTAGATATTCATTTGATAAAAGAATAGCAATGAAGACATACCAAAATATCACTTACAATCTGTTTGGATAAATTCTACTTCAGCTGGAACAGCAGGATGTCTACCCTGACATCTTGGTGTTTCCCTCAAGCTCAGCTCTGGTTAGCACCGTCCATCAAAACCATGCCGCAAAACCATGCAGCAATCTTGCAGCCCAAACACATGCAAAAACAAAATGGATGCACCAGCCAGCATCCTCCATGCCTTGCCCTAGCTTACTTGATACTCAACCAACATTGCAATCTATTTAAAACCACTGTACCTTAACAATCACAAAGTACTTGATATGCAAAGCCCCAGCTGCTTGATGCCAAACCATGCAGCCTGGTAATTTATTCAGAACCTTCCTGCCATAACAATGGCATTACACCTGCAAGTGAAATCCATGCCCATTCCTTAGACAGTCAGCCCTGACAGAATAGACCACTTTACTAACACATTCAAATTTATGGATGTTTCATTTCAATTGTTCAAATTGCCAGGTAAAGATTTGTATTTTCATTTCATCTTTTCACGACTTTCCTCATTCTTTGCCTACCCCCCTCCCTCTCCAGGATGAAGATAATGCAGAACATTGCCAATGTCTTTGTCAAGATGGGTCAGTACACCGACGCTGTCACCTCCCTGGAGCACATCATGGCTGAGAAGTCTGACCATGCGACAGCCTTCAACCTCATCCTGTGTTACTATGCAACGGGAGACAGGGAGAAGATGAAGAAGACATTCCAGAGGCTCCTGGGAGTAGAGCTGAACCTGGATGATGAGGACAAGTACTTGCCCCATCCGGTAGGTCTTGATGTTTTTTCCTTTTTGTTTATCTCTCTCTCCTTTTGTCTTTTTATTCTTCTCTTATCTTTTTCTATAATTTCTTTTCCTTGCTACTATTAGTGATCTTTTTATTCTTTCCCACCATTCTTTTGTGTAACCTACATAGAAAAAAGGAGAGAGAAAAAAACTTTTTTTTGTCCTCTCTCCTTTTGTCTTTGTATTCTTCTGTGTTATCTTTCCCTTTAATTTCTTTTCCCTGCTACTGTTTGTGATCTTTTTTTCTTTCTTTCCCATCATACCTTGGTGTAACTTACATATTCTATGATTTCCTTTTTAGCAGAATGTCTCAATTTTGACCGCATCATTTTATTTCATGCAAATGGCTGCTTAATTTTCTTTGCTTATAGCTTCATATTAATTTTTAAAAGTTGAACATATTTTGATCACAATCTTTCATGCTAACTGTGCTGTGCTGATCTTCTTTACCCAGCTGTAGGTTCAATGTTAACATACTATACTTCTTTCTGTCACTCTGTCAAAACCAGCAAAGCATTCAAAGTGCAAGTGTGGAACACTAATGCTCCATATTTCTCTTCAGTAATGTAGTATACCAGGAAATAATATATATTTTCTTTCAAATGAATTTGCTGGCAATTTTTTGTTCTCTATAGCATGTAAAGAATCTGTGCTCTTTGCTTGTGCTAACATAACAATTTTTGCTGCCCACCAAACTCAATTCCAATTGAAATTGAAATTGCTTCTCAGCCTTATGGGTATGATCGTGTGTAGTAATTGATGTAACTTTGCACTAGGAGGCGTGTTAACTGACTACTATCGGTTTCAAGTTTTTAGAATCAAGGCCTTTGTAGTTCTTTTTCTCCTCTCTTGTATCATTTTCTTTGATATATCTTCTTTATGTATCTCTTCTTCTATTTCCTTTCATCTTTTGAACTTAAAAGGATGAAGAACTCTTTATACCTGAACCGGTGAGTGTTAGATAGAGTTGGAGCCCTAAAGCTTTCTATAGGCAGATGGCTTTATGAGCTCCCCCAAAATACATTGCACCTAGTTGCTCGGGAAGTATCTAGGCTTCCATCTGCCCATTTGTTTGTTCCTTATTTTTGCAATTATTGCAAATAGTATCATGTGCTCATTATATTTCTGTGTTTTCTCATGATTTTCTTTTGTTTAGATTTCTTTTGTTGTTATTGTTTCTTGTTTATTTTATATTTTTGCTGACTGGCTGCATGCTCCATCACCTTTCTTTCCTGTTTAAAGCCTTCCATACTTTACACATGTGCATGCTTTTTCTTGTTTGACATGCATTTAAGAATTTGATGGAGAAGATTCCTAATTCAGAGTTAGGTTTACACTTAGTTTATATTTCATCTTGTGACCAATCTGTCTATGACTTTCATTTCAATCATTCTGCAACTTTATCCCAATTGTGGTTAGAATCATTGAACCATGATTGATAACATTCAGACTGTTAAAGTCAGAATCTTATCTCCTTCTGTATATGAAACATTAATCTTAAAATGCTTTTTGACAGGTTGTTAATATCAGCTTCCATCAAATTTAGACAGTGTACATTCCAAGTACAATAAGGACAGATCCAACAGTTATAAAGAAATAATTATTATCAAACATCAGAACATTTATGATATGACAACAAACTTTAAATCAATTTTAGATTTACTTCCTGCCCCCCCCCCCCCAAAAAAATGAAACTGTGAATGTAAATGTATCTTTTAATCTATGAACAAGTTCTTTTCCCCAATCCTCAAGCATCTTTATGGTATTCTAACTTCTTCTTTACCCAATCCCTCTGTTTTAGGATGACAAGCATGCTAACATGATCCTGGAAGCAATCAGGAATGATGGTCTCAGACAGGCTGAAAGGAAAAGGTAAGTTAATATTATAAATCAAAGCATTCAGGATTGAACAGTGCCTGATCTGAAGTGTATGTTTATTTGAAAGAAAAGAAATGCAAACACAATGTAGACTTTTTGAGAATTAGGTTCTCATCAAGGAAAATGTCTTGTCCCTAAAATGAATTATGTTAGGATAAAAATATACATTAGTATAACAAGATTAGGGCTTGCATTACTCTAGTGTAGTTGAAATGGGGGATGCACCCTTGGCCTTGCTGGAAAGCAAAAAAAAAAAAAACATATGTATTTTTATTTAACCTTGTTTTACACCCTTGCCCAAATCACTGTGAGCTATTGTTGCATGAATTCTATGAAATCATACATTTTATTGTACATATGTATGTTCATCATAATTTCTCTTCTGGTAATCTATCTCTTCAGGAAAGCAAGTATGGAGAAGTGTGTGATGGCCGCAGCCAAGCTGATAGCGCCCTCTATAGAGCAGAGCTTCTCTGCTGGCTATGACTGGTGTGTAGACTGTGTCAAGCAGTCCAACTACATTGACCTTGCCAATGACCTCGAGATCAACAAGGCTCTCATGTACCTCAAGCAGAAGGAATTCAATCAGGTATATATGCTTCATTGCTGTACAATTCAAAATGGCTGTTTAATTGATGAATTGAAGAATCCTGCTGATTCAGATTCAGATAAATGCTGACTCTGCATTTTATTGATATAAATGTATACTATACCGTACCCTAACCTTTCCTTATATCCACATAAAACCCATTCACAGCCCAATCCTAATCCTATATCTTTGAAGAAATGCAGCTCAGAGCTAATGCCACTGAGCTTGCATCAGATCACTGCTATGAACACTCAAATATTTTACTTTTCAAAGGATACTATATTCAGGGATGCTAGTTATCTGGCTCTCCCATGACCCTGATACTTTTCTTAGGCTTCATACTATAGGTCTCCAATATGCCTGGAGCTCTTTTTAGGCTCATTAGGTGGGAAAGCAGCTGGCACCCCTGTCTATTCTACATTATGTCATTTTATCTTGACCCCTGTTTTCAGGCTGTGGAGGTTCTCAAGACCTTTGAGAAGAAGGAATCCAAGTGTGCTACCGTGGCCGCTGTCAACCTATCCTTCATCTACTTCCTACAAGGAGATGTAGCCATGGCCGAGAAGTATGCTGAGGTTGCCATGGCAGCAGATAGATACAATCCTCCAGGTGAGTGAACATCAGAACCATGTCTTCTAAAGAGTTATGTTTGATCAAGAGTCCTCCAATCAATCACAAACTTGTAAACTTGTATGGATGGTTTTTCGGTAGCGCGTACTACTAAGTTAGTCCACACTTTTATGGAGTGCCTGTTGCCAACTCATTTACCCTGTACAGATTATTTTAATCCTTCAATGAAAAGTGTCCAAAAAATAATTTTGCAATGAAATTGATTATCTTCGTCATGAATATTGAAGGAGGTAGTTGAAACCTAGCATTCTATAGAAAGGTGAACTAAAATTCTTGTTTAGTCTGGACTTATAGTCCCAGCTTAACTTATGAGAATACCACCCTATCTCTTTAGTACAGAGTTGTTATATCAAATTGCAATCAATTTGAATCAATCACATTTCTTATGAGATAGGGTCAAGGGTTGAGGTCGGGATGTAGTTCGTAGAGAAAGCCATTCATTACTTGTGTTTGTGTAGATTTGAAAACCATCATCTCTACATAGGAGCTTTACAATTCAATATTACTTTATCAGTTATTGGAATAGTGATTGTATACAATATGTGCTCCATCTTCATTGTTTAAGGCATGTTGTCAGTTAGTCACTAAAAGTTTGGCAAACAAATTACAGTATGAGCTTTCAGCATAGTGCCTGATCAGTATGAAATAGGTAATGTTGCCAATTTTTACCAAAGGACAAAATAATGTGCCATATTTTGCCTCAGAATATATTGAAGTAGTAGTGCAACCTTCTGAATCTTTGTGGATTCATCCTTGCTTGAATAGTAGCTTTGGACTTTGTGATGAATAAATACTCCTGGATAGTTGCTACTGATTAAAAATTGGCCCTCAGTCCAAATGATAGAAATAAATATATATCACAACAGTGGAGTCTTATATAGTCTGCCACTCCTGTCTCTTCATTATTGTTAACCCAACTTTAGCATGGATGCCATTATAGTGCTCAAGCTTTATAAAGAATACATTTTTAACAATTAACTATTTACCTCACCTTGGTGGAGTGTGGTAAAATTTAGATTAATGTCGTGCCAAAGGACATTGGTGCCGTGACAGGGGTCCTAATAACATCAGTCGTAGCAAAGAAGCTCTTTTCAAGTTGCTTATGATTGTTCTATCTTGTCTTCTTTCAGCCTTGGTTAACAAAGGCAACTGTGTGTACGTACAGGGCGATCTTGAGAAGGCCAAGGAATGCTACCAGGAAGCACTCAGAACAGAAGCATCATGCACAGAAGCGCTCTATAATCTAGGTGGGCCTCAGTACAGAAAGTGAATCTAGAAATAATTGAACTGCTTATGATAGGATGTACAGAATGTACATGACTTCTTTATTAAAAGTTCTCTCTCTCTCTCTCTCTCATTCAAAAAGAAAAAGCAAATGCTGTCAACCCATTACCAACAGGAAACAGGTAGCTCCTGTGTTAAGCCTACAAGAATTCAGTAGTCAATGGTTTAAGTAGAACCCACATCGGAACATATTACTTGCATATCTGTATTTACTTTTTAATTCAGGTATATTAAATATATGTCCACTATGATATGCTGCTACAATATTGGTTCAGTTCAAAATCTACAGAGAGGTGAAAAATTACTAAGTAATAATATTAGATGTGTTCATGTTGACTAAGTGTACATATAGTACTATTAAAGTCGCTCATGCTTGGGTATATAGAGGGCAGCACAACTTTTTACACACATGAGCCAATTGGCTCAGTATTATGTAGTAATTCCCAACTTGCCTTCTTCACGAACGACTATATACGCACGCATGAACATCATGCAAATTAAACAAATAAATGTGGTTGGAATTTTGATCGATAAATCTTGTAAATTGACTCTGTTTTATTATTTAATTTCAGGTCTTGTTAACAAGAAGCTTGGTCATCTGGAACCAGCGCTGGATTGCTTCCTCAAACTCCATGCCATACTCAGAAACAATGCTGAAGTTATATTCCAGATAGCATCAATGTATCCTTCAATAATGATACTCTGTTGGTTCATACCACATGTGATATGTCAAAACAGAGGATGTTTTTTTTTTTTTTACACTGGGAATAGTGCTGTATTTAAATAGTTCCATCCAAAATTACACTCAGTGCTCTGTCTGGTATTCCTAATTCACTCTTGTCTTCAAAAAGTGTATTGATGGCTTGTCATGTCTGTCTGCTTTGAGTTTGGATTGTCCCATTGGCCATCCTTAGATTTCGTAGCTAGGTTAGCCTTTTAAATAAGAGCTAAATTATGCTGCTGGTAATGTAATTATAATTTTACTTTCAGAATTTGAGAATAGAATACCAGGATGATGTTAGATTGAGAATTTGAGATCCATGAATTTCCATAAGTACGGCTGTAATATAGAATGGGAACCATTTTAAATTTTGCTATTCTAAAGGGTACATTGTATTTACAACCATAATCGTAGTCATGTATATATATCTTATGTTAAATCTTTCATATGTTACCCCCCAAAAAGTTGGGTAATGTTGGCCAAGGTTGTTCATGTTAATCAGAACTATTTATAATTCCATTCATCTATGAAGAAAACCATACTGCCTACACTGCACCTCTTCCAAATTTTTAAAAGAGCCAAACAATTTCCTTGACCTTTGTCGCTGTATAGCAACGAGATGCTAGAAGACATTCCTCAGGCCAGTGAGTGGTTCATGCAGCTCATTGGCATCGTGCCAACTGATCCTGGTATCTTGTCCAGGATGGGAGAGCTCTACGACAATGAGGGCGACAAATCACAGGCATATCAGTACCACTTTGAAGTGAGTATTATAGCCCTCTTGACCTTATATTAGGGCTTCATGATATTGCAATGTTAAAAAATAAACAGAGAATATCGTAATATTTTAAATTTTACCACCGATAATACAACATATTTATCTCAAACAATGTTTTAAAAAAATATTGTCAATGTTTATCATGAAAGAAATAATTATTGGTACTGTGAAATTTTTTGACAAACAGAATGCTATGAAATATCTGACAGGTCATGTTATTTGAACCTAGTTTGGTCTGATCTAACATGCTAGCAAGACTAGCAGATGGGAGAAAGTACTTGTGAATTTGTGTTGACACTGGCAGTGCCACAAATTGCTATTTCGGTGCGTCATTTAAATGAAAATAGTATTTCTGGGAATTACATGTAAATTATATTGTCATATCAGTGATTTTACAGCTTACAATTACAAAGCCAAATTGTGTAATATCTTGGAAACTTGTTCTATAAATTTGTTACATAATACCAGGGCCTCATTTCACAAAACTTGTCATCAGTGACAAGTGACAGTATTTGTTATAAGCTAGTGAAATCCTTGCTTCTGATTGGTTATCAGCAGATTTGTCACTGATTTTTGTTTCGTTTGTCATTGAAAAAAGAAGGCTGTGTGAAACGAGTCCCTGGACCCTGTCTCATAAAGAGTTGTTGATTATAGGACTGTTTGTTGAATGGGATCAATCACAACCTTAAAAGAAGAAGTCTAGAGTAAAAAATATCTGGGGCCATTTTCACAAAGCTTTTTTTCAATGACAAATGACAAAAATCAGTGACAAATCTGCTGATAACCAATCAGAAGCAAGGATTTCAGTAGCTTATAACAAAAACTGTCATTTGTCACTAATGACAAGTTTTGTGAAATGCCCCCCTGATCTTTATAACAATACCCAATTTTGTTATCCCTCATGCAGTCGTTCCGTTACTACCCATCCAACATTGAGATCATAGAGTGGTTGGGGGCATACTTCATTGACTCTCAGTTTGTAGAGAAAGCCATTCATTACTTTGAGAGGGCAGCAGTCATCCAACCCAACCAAGTCAAATGGCAGCTCATGATAGCTAGCTGTCATAGGAGAAGCGGTAAGAATCAACATTTTGAGTGTTCGGTTTAAATTATCAAAATTCTTTGTGAGGGAAAAATGATTTTATAGGGTGTATACGATTCAATGCATGTAATAGATCAAGGTAGATAACTTACCACCTTGAGATTTATTATATTTAAAAAAATATTTAAAAAATTGTGAACATTTCTTACTAAGTAAAAAGCTTGGACTAGGACAGCTTGAGTCAAAAGAGAATGGAAATTTCATGAGGAGGGCTTTGTCCAACGTCTGAATGAACTATAGCCTGATAGATAGATAGATAGAAAAAGCTACTCAATACAATTCACTATTGAAGATGAAAAAATAACTTAGTTTTCAGCTTTCAAAAGACATGTCTTTAAAATCTAGAAATGTTATAAATATTTGTTCTATTTAAACATGACACAAATTTTCATTGGAATATTTGAGTGCTCTCTTAGTCAATTAATAGTAAAGTGGCACATCGTCCCTCCATATATGTTCATGTAGATAATATAACAATGTTTTTCTCCTCGTTTCTAATGCAGGAAACTACCAGCAAGCCTTGGAAACATACAAGAAGATTCACAAGAAGTTCCCAGACAATGTAGAATGTAAGTGGAATAAAACCCATAATCTATTGTCACTACTCCCTAGACAGTATTATGGGATGTAGATGAGGAGGTAGCAACAAAACATAATTTCTTTTATTTTTATTTAAGTGGACAAAGATGATTGTAGCATGACCAATGAATAATGGTTCAAATAATTAACAAGTACTTTGATGGCAAAGCATTGATGTCTGTTGATTGTCAGCAAGTAGATTTTGTAACCTGACCAAATTCTGCATAATTCATTTTTAATTTTTTTTAGCATACATGTATATTCTTGAACTATATGCAAGTAATATATGTCAAGTTCAGTACAGTGCATACAATGTAACAGAGTGTTGTTTTGATGGCAATTATTTTATCAATTTTCTTTGTGCAGGTTTGAAGTTCTTAGTACGTCTTTGCTCTGATCTTGGGCTAAAGGACGCGCAAACGTATGCAACCAAGCTGAAGAAGGCAGAGAAAGCTAAAGAACTCAAAGAACAGGTTTAATAGATTTTTTATTTTTTTGGTCATCTGTCTATCCTGTTCTTATGGATTTTTAAAACTCTCCTTTGACCATTTGTCCTACCCTGTCCATCTCCTCTCTCTGTTTTTCACTCTCTTAACTATGTCTACCCATCTTTCTCTCTCTCTGTCTGTCTGTCCCTCTCATTCTTTTTCAGCCAGTGAATTCCGTTTATATTTTCCTTTCATCTGTCATAGTACATGTGAATGGATTATTTTCATTATTGCATAAAAATTGTATTTCCCAAGTGCTGTATAGAATTATTGTCATGATAATGTAGGGCCATTTTACTTCAACATCTGTAATATAGAGAACCTTACTTTCGTTCCTTTTTACATTGACAAAATAAAAAAGTTCCACGTGACAACAACCTTTATGGAGCAATATTTTAAAAAGGTTTACAACAACTGGTGCAAGAAAAGTGTGAAATGAATACATGGTATATACATGTAAACTAAAGACCAATGTTGATGTGGACCAATGAATTAAATGATTAAATCAGAACCTTTACTTTCTATTCTCTTCAGAGAGCCACCAGTGGTAACAGACGTGGTAGCGGTCGGGGCGTTCGGCAAGGAAGTGCAGGTCAGTCATTACCCTACACATGTCTATCACATTCCTCATGTTTATGCTTTACACTTTAATATACACCCAACACGTTAATACCTCATTTTATGTTTAAACATAATAAAATGTAATTACTTTTTTATTGATGTGATTAATGAAGTAACCCCTAAGGGGAGGCTGTGCCAGTCAGTCACTCAATATCCTCATTTTGATAATACAACTGGGCATTCATCCATTAATATAAAGTATTTTACAAATATGTAAGAATTGATTGCTGTGGTTAATCTATCATTTAGTCCTTGTAGAAATGTTGATTTCAATACACATTTGATTTGATTTGATTAATTGTCCATTTATTAACTTTAATACTTGATTCACGAACTGCATCACTACCAAATTTATTGTAAAACATAAATTAATAAATCATTAGTAAATTTAAAAGAAAAAAGGAAAGGATTAACAAAAGCAAGGTATATCATTTATCATCTTTATTCAGCTGAAAAGCCAAAATTGAAGAATTCCGAGCAAATATACCCATCGCGATACAATGTTTAAAATATTGCAGAAAATAGTGCATCTAAATGTGGAGCTGGCATAATTCATTTTGTATATATATTCAAATCTGCTTGATAAAGTTTGATCTCTATTTCGTCAAAAACAAATATCCATTGCATATATTTCATGTATTTATCATAAGAATATGTGTCTGATAAGAGAACGTGCTAGATTCATTGTTTCTACTGTCTCATAATAAAGCATGAAAATAATGCAGCTTTAAGCATGAAATGAGAACTTCAAAAATCTTAACAGGCTTGCTCTCGATAGCATGAGAATTGTCTCATGGATTACACTTAAAAGTTTTGAGCATGTTCTTCAAAGAAAATATTTCAAATTCAATAAATCATATTCTATTTTGTATTTTATTTTGTTTTTTGCTGCTATCATGTAGACTTTAGAGGTGAGGGATGTTCCTCATGAAAAAGGAACCAGAAATATGCACACAAAAACACTTCTTTATCTTTGATTGTATTTAACTCCACATTTGATCTTTTTATTTGGCACAGTCGCACATCCCTTGTTCTTTCAAGGGAGTGGGTTTTGGGGCATGTTGAATTTCTTTTATGTTGTTTGGGGAACTGGTATTTATTTTTTAAGAGTGATAAAGCCTGAGATAAACAACATATACTTTCCAAACACTTTCATATCGTTTTGCAATATTATTATCTCACCTCACTCTCCTTTGACCTACACTGTATATAACGTTGATATATAAGAAAGACTAAGCAAAAGAAAACTTTAGGGAAGATGTAAATGGAAAGCAATCCTTGGTTGCCGTTTGTGAAAATAGTATCCCTTTAACAGGGAGAGTTTTTATGTTAATTCAAACAGTACCTGCACAATAACTACACTGTACTAACTACATGTATGATTTTTATCCTGAATGTAGTGTAGATTTTTTGTTCACAATGATGATTCATATAACAAAACACCCAAGTATACCATTATTGAATTGTATGTACTACAATCCATCTCGAACTGGTCCCTTAGCAATTGCCAAAATAACTAAATGAATACATCCTATATACACCTGTTAATTTTGTTATTGTACAAATAAAACAAGCACTCACTTCAACATGTACCTCATCTTGACACCTATCTTACCTACTATTACTTCACAGATACAACATTTATCTTATCACATATCTTACCATATCTAATAATAGGTGTAACACATCTTATGCAAGCATTGTCATTTATATTATTCTACCATATAACCGATCACTCACCCATCTTACTCACATGACAGTGACTGCTCTACATTCAAGTGGTGAACCATTGCATGGTCATTTCATTCCTCACGCATCGAAGCTAAGATGGAGGGTTTGGTTAGGGTCGCAATCAAGTTTAATCAAATGTTGCAGGAGCATGTGAAGTATAATAATAATAATAATAATAATACACAAGATTTGTAAAGCACCTAATGCACTTGACAATCTAATGTACAAGGTGCAGCTTGTGCAAAAGATGAAATAAATGATAAATAGACAAAAGTACTAGGTACGGACAATAAACAGATATTTCTTAAGATTATTTTTTAACACTTCACCAGAATCAAATATATGTAATGAGTTCATCCATCCACCCCACCCCTAATTCCAATATTAATACCTACCTCACACCCTTTGCACTGGTTCTGTGTGTTGTTGTTCTTTGTATGGTGAGTCAGGTTCAGAGCGAACTGGTAGTGGCACGAGGAGGGGTCTGGAAGACGACCGCCTCGATAGCCCATCTGGTAAGTTTTATTGTGGGGTAACATGTATAAATCAAGTGTAATAGTAGTAATACTATCAAGCGGTAATCTGAAAACGATGTTATCTTTTATGTTGGGGAAAACAATTTTAATTGTCATAAAAAACTAATATTTCGCAGAACTAACACTGACCATTGGTGCTTGTGTAGATGCCTCTTCAAACTTTGCGCCAACGTAGACATTACCCCATGACTTTTCTGAATTTAGAGTTATTTGGACAATTAACAATGTTTTACTAACATGAAAGATAACATCGTTTTCAGAATACCACCCTAGGCTCGTCTTATCTATCCAGGTTAGAATCATTATCAACCGTATCGATATAGGTCTGTGTTCATCAGCTCGAGTTTGCCAAATAACCTGCTATTTTCAGACTCGGGATATTACCGGCAGCTCGAAATTGCATCTTCACCAGACCGATACGCTCATCATAAACTAGGACTCAGACGGGAGCAAATTAGCCGGAAAATATTTGGCCCACTATATTAGACCGCTATTTGGGAAAACGCAGGATATTTGGAAACAAGACCAAATGATTGGCTAATTTGCGATCGGAATATTTATTTGGCAAACTTGAGCTGATGGAGACAGGCCATATGTTGTTCTTCTTGAGAGCCTTGTAATCATATTACCCCTCTTTGATAGCTACCATACTAAGGCGCTCAAGCTTGTGAAGAATGTTTTCATACTTGGGGGGAGGGGGGAGGGGGTGTTTACATTGCTTTGATGCAAGAATGGCAAGTGTAGATCAATGTAGATATTAGTGCCATGGCGGGGATTTGATCCCCATAACATGACCTTTCCACTGGACCACAACCTATTCAAGCCAAGTAATCCTGCATGTTGCTCAGTAGCTATGACATTGCTTTAGCTTTTGCTCAGTAGCTATTTAAATCAAATGTTAAATGCTCTACTAAAAATCCACTCACAGTTTCTTTTGATATAGCAGCTCATTTGACCTTTATTTGCACGTGCATACTCTTCCTCTGCCTTCAAAATTTGAACATTGGCAAAGCTATGATTTGAAAATGCATACATACAACCTGTGCTTCTTATAAGAGAATGTATATATTCCTAAGCTTGGCAAATAAGTTTTAACCTAAACACACTTCATAACTTTTGCATAGGAAATTTATCTTGAACAGATGTCATTATAAATTGTGTCTATCAGTGGCTTGCATGATCACATGCTGAAATTTGTAATAATTATAATTATCATTATTACTATTATTATTATTATCATTATTATTATCATTATAAGTATTATTATTATTATGATCATTATTACTATTATAATTATTATTTTTACTATTATTATCATTAATACATGTATTATAATTTAATCTTTGGAATTTACACATCATTACTTTTGCTCCTATTCTATCACAATCAGCACTTGTGTGTTTTAGATTTAGTACTTTTATTACTTTATTAACTTTCCTTCAATGAAATAACATTCTTTTGGTATTGTATGTATTGTTGTTCTTGTGATTTACTGAAGTGCAGTGTGTAAAATAATGTTATTAATTTATTTACTGTCATTTTGGGGATTGACTGAAGTGAAGTGTACATATATGTTGCCCTGTGCAGTTTTCTTTTAAGGCTATACATATCTAGAAAAGGAAAATAATTATTTGTATTAGTAAGAAGACTTTGTCAAAATTAAGTATAGGCGTATTATTCATTTATACAAGTATGTTTATTCATTCCTTTTGCCAGTTTCAGTTATGTAATTAGATACTACTGTCCTTTTTTTTCTTCTTTCCTTTTACATTAATCAATAAAGGGAAATTAAAAAAGATTTGTTAAGTGCCAATACCAGAAGAAAAAAAAACATCAACATAAGTAGAAAAATGTATAATTGTAGAATAGTGTTCAAAACTGCACTTTACATGTAGATCTTTAATGAGAGAAAGTAACTAATAGTTGAAATACATTGCCTTGTTTTAACAGATTCAGGAAGGGGTGGCAGTGGAACAAGCAGTCGACAGAACAGCGGGCGGTCAAGCGCTCGTCGGAGCAGCGGTAGGATGAGGGCAGCATTACCTGAATCGAGCGGCGTGTATCAAGTAGAGGAAAAGAACGTTGGTAAGTAATGCTCTCAGAAATTTGTAATTGCTTCAGCTGTATTCCTTTTTTTCTTCCTTCCTCTCTTTTAATCAACAATTCTTTCTTCTCAATACCCTTCTGTGCCTTAGAATAATTAAGATCATTGGTGGTGCACTGTGAATGCTATAAATATTCATCAATTTGGTTGGAGGTTAAATGTCATATATATTTGTCTTTGCCATATTCCTGCAGTTAGAATTAGGGTTATTCCATTCTTGACTCGTTATGAAAGCAGTATTTAAAAATTAACAGCAGAATAAGGAACGCTGTGTTCATCATACTTTAATACCTAATCTTAGACTCAGGGGAACTCTCTTTAAATTCTTGCAACACTTTGACCTTTGACCTTTATTAAAACTTTGTATTCCTTTTAAACAGATGCATCATACATTGATCCCTTGGGCCCATCTGCAGAGAGACCCAAGACCGCAGCACGGAAGAGAGATGCTGAAGATGAGTTTGGAGACGAGGAACTAGGAGATGACCTCCTCCCAGAATAGATGTAGTCTTTTATTAAAAGCTAGCTGGGATGAAAGGATGCCAGGAGCCCGTTTCACAAAGCCTTTTTTCAATGACAAATCTGCTGATAACCATCAGAAGCAAGGATTTCAGTAGCTTATAACAGAAAATTTCATTTGTCACAAATGACAAGTTTTGTGAAATGCCTCCCTGGAGTAATGATACATCATTACAAAAGATAGACAGTTATCCCCCCCCCCCCCCCCCCTCCCCTCCTGTTAGTAGCTGTTCATATAACACCTTTCCACTGCATATAAAGTGTCTGAAATGTTTTTCATTGGTGAGGTCTGGCATTAACACATTGACTACTGAATTATCTTGCTCCCATAGGCTTAATACAGCGACCGCCCAGTTACAGTTAACTTTTTGGAATATGTTCAAGTTTGATTCAAAGGTGTGATAGTGTGAGTTCAGTTATTGCATAGTGTCACAATAGTTACTGTTTCATTTGTCATTTCATTTATTATCAACATCTGTATGTTTCCAGACTCAGAGTTATCCACTGGGAGTGATAATTTCATATGATGGGGAAGTCTGCTTATGAGCAGAAGAGACAGACAAACCAAACATGAATTTGTAACTTACAACACTATATAAAGTTTCATGGGATTTCCTGGAAATGGACAATCTCAAACTGATGTGAAGAAGAGCTTAGAAAGCATGAAATAGACTAGGGCATGGTAATACTATCTGATTTTGAAGAGGATTGGGGAGTAATCAAACTCTAAAACAAATAATGTCAGGATATTTAAACATGAAATGGAATTCTACCGGAAATATGATCAATTATCTAGAAGGAAAAAAAGTGATATCGTGGAAATCGAATGAGGGGTTGTAATAAAATTACCACCTAGGAAGATTTTTTTTTCCATCTAGATAAATATGGCCATGCATTTGATTTTGTCAGATTGGAAATATGTCAAGAGTTAAGAAGAATTTATAACAATATATTTATTCAATACAATATTGGTTTGGTAAATAATTTCTATATATTTCAGACCACTTTATAACTTCATATACATTTGCTATTTACATGTCAATAGTTACATTTTGTGGAGGCAAGTACTGTACGATATGAGGTGATACCTCTATGATTGGACTCGAAAAGTGTATTTGTCAGCACTGAAAGGACAGTATCACTATGTCACCTTGAAATTAAGATACATGTTCTTCTAGTCGTATACAGTTCACCGTTTTATTTATTATAGATCAGTTTAAATTACAATTATTTTTCTCATTACAACGTTTCTGTATTGAAAATGAGGTACAATTTAACTATAAATGAGTGCACAATGTTAACAATATATAATTATTTCAATATATGATAATACTGCTGCCAATTTTAACACTCATGAGTATCAATTGTTTCAAAATTTTCTCCACATTTGTATGTACAACCTGTATTTGAACACATCATATGTGATAAGACAGTGGGATTATTTTAAGTTTGAATGAATTGACCCACTGTATGAATTAGATGATTAATGGCTTAAAACTTGGGTACAAAATACAAATCTTTTTCCACATTGAAAGTTTTTGAAGAAAAAGTAATAATTTGATACACTTTCCCAAAGTCTCTGCATAAAGAGTTACTGACATATGTCCAGTTATTTATGAGAAGAATTATTCGTAAATGATGTGTGGAATCTTTTTGTTGTTGTTATATTACTAGCATCTACTAGCATGCCTAGCAGCTCTGTATTCATTTCCTACTGAAGTCAGTCTATCTTAAAGTGTCATGAAATATATAATTTCATTTGTGATGTGCGTGTGTGACGTTGTATAGTTAGAAAATAAGTTCTATCTTATAGATCCTGTTTTGTGATTTAAAGTTGTATAAAAGAGATATTAAAAAGGAAAATGTTACTATTGCATATGTAATACAGGTTTATAAATGTAGTTTTATTTGAGTAAGTTTCATTATGTGTATCACACTATCCCCCACCCCACCCCCTGTATCTCTCTCTCTCTCTCTCTCTCTCCCATCTCATTTGTTTTCTCTCCCTCTCTTATCTGCTGTTCCTCAAAGAATTTGTGTCTATCTAAAAAATCATTCTTTCCTTTCGTACATGTACCTTTTTAGTATTTTTTACTCTCCCTTTTTTCAAATGATAGTGGTGATGATAATAATGATGATGATGAGTGTATTGAATACTGAATTTAATTATTGTAGACCAATGAAGATGATTAATTATCTATCACTGGTGATTATTAATGCTGGCTGGTTTAGAAGCGATCTGCATGTTGTTGATGATTGATGATACTGATGTTTGATGTTGGTGTGATCATGATCATGAATAATTATGGATTATGATTATTGTGGGGGCAGTGATGGTGATTGAGGTGAAGATGATGATGCTAGTACCAATGATGGAGAAGGTTTACAATTCTATTTTTCAGGGGAGGGGGGTGGGGGCATAATAAGAGCCTCGAGGTAAAACTTAAAATACCCTTGTTCAAAGCGTAAGAGCTGCAAATTACTACCGGTACCTGTTTTTGTTTTTGTTTCTGTTTTTGTTTAATCTTCTTTTCATTTCATTAATTACTGTCATTTTTATTTAGGTTGCAGAATTTGTGTTTCCTATCTATTCGGCGTATTGCCTTTGATTCAATGAAGTAATTAAACCTGTAATTGGAGGAAGAAAATTAAGAATACAAAGAAACAAATGCGACTGAATGGCATGATATATTCTGCAGTTCTATTAGGCCTATATATTTATCAGTTCTTAACTTTATCTAAGGATTTTTTTTTCTTGTATATATACTTAATTGGGAGATTCACCAAAAAATAGATATAATTATTAAATGCCTTGACGTTTTGGTACAGATCATGAACGGTATATGGAATATGCAAAGATTTTTTGAAATTTCTATTACTTTCCTTGTTTTAGGCCTCTATCTAGATTTGATATGCTATTTATTTTTGAAAATATGCACGTTAATTAAAAATGAAGAGAAAAGTTCTAAATTTCTTTCTTATAGTTGAATTTGCAATTCTAAGAAGAAATTATTCTCAAATTTCATACTCGCACCATTTCTCCTGTAGTTTTAGTAAATATTTCCTATATATTATATATTTTTTTTTAAACAATGACCGTCGCAACGGGAATAACATTTTATGACACAAATTATATTTTCGAATGTATCTTTTGTATCCTCACTTTAGTCTAACTTTTTTAAATCATAAAGTAATGCTTGCAGCGATTTGGTACAGATCATGAACGGTATATGGAATATGCAAAGATTTTTTGAAATTTCTATTACTTTCCTTGTTTTAGGCCTCTATCTAGATTTGATATGCTATTTATTTTTGAAAATATGCACGTTAATTAAAAATGAAGAGAAAAGTTCTAAATTTCTTTCTTATAGTTGAATTTGCAATTCTAAGAAGAAATTATTCTCAAATTTCATACTCGCACCATTTCTCCTGTAGTTTTAGTAAATATTTCCTATATATTATATTTTTTTTTTTAAACAATGACCGTCGCAACGGGAATAACATTTTATGACACAAATTATATTTTCGAATGTATCTTTTGTATCCTCACTTTAGTCTAACTTTTTTAAATCATAAAGTAATGCTTGCAGCGATTTGGTACAGATCATGAACGGTATATGGAATATGCAAAGATTTTTTGAAATTTCTATTACTTTCCTTGTTTTAGGCCTCTATCTAGATTTGATATGCTATTTATTTTTGAAAATATGCACGTTAATTAAAAATGAAGAGAAAAGTTCTAAATTTCTTTCTTATAGTTGAATTTGCAATTCTAAGAAGAAATTATTCTCAAATTTCATACTCTCACCATTTCTCCTATATTTTTAATAAATATTTCCTATATATTATACTTTTTTTAAAAACAATGACCGCCGCAACGGGAATAGCATTTTATGACACAAATTATATTTTCGAATGTATCTTTTGTATCCTCACTTTAGTCTAACTTTTTTTTAATTATAAAGTAATGCTTGCAGCGAAATAAAAAATTTCGATCACCCCCCCCCCCCCCCCCCCCCCCCCCTCCCCCCTACCCCCATGCACTAGCCCAAACTTGATCGAGGCACGAAATCAGTCGATTTTATAATTCAGCTAACTTCAGTGTTTGCTGAAGTAAGCGATAAATATTTTGGGATTGGTGGAGAACTTACGAACACGTTTCCTTTCATTTTTAATTGTCTCTAAACTGCGCTGGCCCAATAAAATGCAATATGTCCTTATTTCTTCGTAGGCTGATTGCAAGGAAGGTAAGTAAGATTCTGATTGCTATGTTTTCTTTCAAAAGATAATAATTTGCGATTATTACTGCCAGACAGTCGTGTGGCAGACGACAGTGTTGTCCCAGGTGTTCATTTTTATGTTATGTCATAAAACTTGACTTGAAAATGTAAACTCGGATCATCCGTGCAGCCCAGTTCCCAACTTTGACCTAATTATTTGATGAATTTATGATGTGGAATGCTTTATTGTAGACACGACTTAAGCGTTGCATTATTTAGCAGTTTCGTCTTTGAAAGACTAACTGTTATAGGTCTAGATCTACTTGTTGTTTTTTGTTATGTGGTGTGTTTTTTTTTTGGTGTTTTTTTTATGGGGGAGCCCCCTATCATTTGTGCATTGTTTTGTGTTTCGGGGGACTTTTTTGGTCTTTATAAAATAAATTAAATAGACTTATTCTTCATGCTCTTAACATGTTTACTCTATGATTTATCTATTTCTTTCATCCCCATCTTCTATTCGTTTTTTAAATCGTGATTTGTTAATAATATTTACAGGAATCATGACAATAATCCTATTTTCAGAGAAAATATAGAATGGAGTCTATTCTTTCATATTTTTTCATAATAATATTTCTTCTACCTTATTCAAATTACTGAATACTTTTTTTTTGCGATCAAGTTTCTTCATTTGCAATCTTCTTAAATTTATTCTAAGACCCAATCCCTTAGTCTATAGATCTAGTTTATTTTCACATCTCTAACTATTAACAGATCTAGTTCATAGTCATAGATCTATATGTAGACATATTCTTTTCAGCTTCTTCTTTATTCCTTTCCATTTTCTCATCTCCTTTTCTTCCACCTTTTCTTCCACCTTTTCTTCTAATTTCTCTTTTTATTGATATTTTTTCTTTTTTATCTTGTTATCTCTTTCTCATCACTTTTCTTCTACCTCTAAAAAAAAAAATTGTTTGTTGACCTCTTTCCTCTTCTATTATTTTACATAATTAGATGAAATATATCACTGTGACTGTGATGTTGCAGTACACATTTGATTGCACATGACCATGGGTGAATGTAGTGGGACTTTGTCCAGTTGGCTCTTAATTGTGTTCCCCCCCCCCCCCCCCCCAAGAACAGAATTGTTGCATTATGAAAGCAAAATTATTTTCATCAATTAAAACAACAAATTTATTACTGTTGAAAGATCAGATGAACGGATAAATAAGAGATCACTGTAGACAAGGTTCATGTATAAGTGGCCATCTTGAAAGTGCTTTATTCATGTATCCTTCCGCCAATCGCGGCCTCATTACGCACATTGATGTTGTTCATATAGTACCACAACATCCCCCTTCTTTCAATGACAAGTTGATAGTGCTCTCATTAACCAGTTATATCTTCCCTGCTCAATAGGCACTGTACATGACGGAAATTATCCACTAAAACAGTAACACAATTTAGAAATTTCAACAAGAGGAAACATTCCAAACATATTCTTCTTTTTTTTTTCTTTTTTTTTTTGAGAAGCACAGTACTAAAAACTGTTCAACTAAAACTTACAAGTACCTTTCAACAAGAAAACAAATTTTAGAATGGTAAAATAGTGTCCTCCACTATAACAGGCATATTTTTGTCGCTGAATCGACATACTTGTATAATGTAATTCAACTTTTTATAATTTACAAAACTTTTGCTGGAATAAACTAAAGTGATTCCATATTGCTTTCTGGCAAACAGTTATAAACAACATTTTCCTGTGAAAAAACGTTTTTCATCCCAATTCAATTAGGACTTAGCAATACGACAAATCAGCGTAACAAAACTATAATACCTGGTCATTTGTGTGGAGAGAAGAAATATCATGCACGAGCACGACATACAATTGTTAAATTCGGTTCTGTATACAGAAGAGATTTTCTGTTGAAAGATAGCCAATATTAAGCGTGGCAGTTATATAAAACATTTTGGTTATATACATGTATACTGATTAAGAAATTGAATCACCTGATGTCAAATATGAGGTTTTACTATCATCAATGTAATTCTACCGGGTATGCTAAATCATTAAACAAATAAAGTATAGTTGTTGTTTATCAATCTATTAATCGATAAAGTTTTTATTCTTGATAACGAGATGGGGGATTAACCTTGCGACCATATCTTGTGACATAGGCAAAAGAATCAGAACGAGGGATTGAACCATCAAAATCCTGTGTTCCTGCGGGTGTTGTGCAGTTGTCACCATCCTCTCTTGGAAGATGCTCTGTCCCTGGTGTGGGTGCTGTTGCCGTCTCTATTTGTATCGGCATCTCTCGCAGATGGGACCTGTTTCTCCTTAACACCCTGCCATTTGGTGTTGTCACTTCATATGATCTTGGTTCTGGGCAAACTCTTGAAACCTCAGCCGGCAGCCATGTATTGTCGTCTGGATGCAAAGTTCTGACTTTCTGGCCGACCTTCAGGAGGGACAGTACCCGACCGGCATGTCTGTCATGGTCGGTCTTCATCACATCCCGCCTTCGCTGGAGCTGGTCGTGGACATCGCTCATCTGTCTGTCATGATCATGGCGACCTGGAAGGGTTGTCTTCATTTGCCTCCCAAACATCATTTCGGCAGGAGATGGCAGGTCCGATTGAGGCGTTGCTCGAAGGTGGAGAAGTGCCTTTTGGACATCTTGTCCTGTCTGTTTGCACTTCTTAATCATCGACTTTATGGTGCGTACCATCCGCTCAGCTAGGCCATTGGAGCGCGGATATCTCGGCGATGAGGTGGTGTGCTTGATGTTCCATGACTCACACATGTCTTTGAAAGCTTTTCCAATGAACTGGGGTCCGTTATCAGATATAACTTCGGAGGGCACTCCCAGGAGGCTGAAGGTTTCTTTCATTACGGTAGCAACTGAAGCACTTGTGGTGCTGTGCATTTTCCTGATCACAGGGAACTTGGAATGATAGTCAGTAATGAGTAAGTATTCAGTTCCATCAAGAAAAAACAGGTCTGTGGCTACCTTTGTCCATGGCGTCATTGGAACTTCGTGCGGTTGTAGTGGTTCCCTTTGTTGCCGATCTTGGTTCTCCTGGCAAGCAGGGCAAGTCTTGACAAGGTTTTCAATATCCTTATTGATGCCTGGCCAGTATACCGTGTCCCTTGCTAGTCTACGAGTTCTCTCTATACCCATATGACTCGTGTGTAGCTGCTCCAGGATGTCTGATTGCAGCGTTGAAGGTATCAACACCTGTCTTCCTTTGAAGATAATGCCGTTGGCGACACCCAGTTCCTCTCGGTATGACCAGTGAATCCTTGAGCTGCTTGGAACCTGCTTAATCACGTCTGGCCATCCATCGTGAATAATTCTACTCAGCTGCTTCAAGTTCGGATCGCTTGCTGTCTCTCTCTGCAGCTGTGTCTGCTTCATAGGTGTGAAGCTTGCCAGATCATTGTCATGATTCTCTTCTAATTCCATGACTTCATCTACATGGAGCTCAACGATGACGTCTCCTCTCTTTCTGGGGTTTGGCAACCTACTGAGTGTGTCTGGTAATGTCATCTGACTTCCGGGCTTGTATAGGATATCACAATCATAGCCCTGTATTTTGACGAGAAGCCTCTGTAATCTTGGAGGCGCACTCCCCAGGGGCTTTCTACAGATCGTTTCGAGTGGTTTGTGGTCAGTGTAGACTGTGAACTGGTTACCAAACAGATATGAATGGAAACGTGTGATCCCAAAAACAAGTGCCAATGTCTCTCGCTCGATGTTTGAGTAGTTTGATTGTGCATCTGACAAACTCTTTGAGGCGAATGCGACTGGTCTTTCATTCTGAAGGAGGCAGGCTCCAAGTCCTTTGAGCGATGCATCTACCTCTAGTACTGTTGGGACACTGGGGTTATAGTACCGTAGACACTTTCCTTCTGAAATTTCTGATTTCAATCGTTGAAAGCATTCCTCATGGTCCTCCTGCCAGGTAAAGGGAACATCTTTCCTCAGAAGATCACGCAGTATTGCTGACTTTTCAGCATAGTTTGAGATGTATGGTGATAAATAGGTCATCATCCCTAACACTCGCTGGAGATCGTCCTTGTTCTGTGGTGTAGGCATTTCTCTGACATCCTCCAACTTGCTAGGATCTGGTTGTATGCCTTTGTCTGTGTACAGTGAACCAAAGAAATTGATGCTTCTCGCCTTGATCACACACTTTGTACTGTTGAACACCAGACCTTCTTTTTGTGCAACTCCCATCAGTCTCCAGAGATTATCATCATGCTCCTGTTCAGTCTTGCCAAATACAGCTATGTCGTCAGCTATACCTTCACAGCCTGGCGCCTGTGCAAGGATTGTGTCCATCCTTTGTTGAAAGATGTCTTGACTCACCGAAAGTCCAAATGGAAGTCTGCGAAAGCAATACCTTCCAAATGGTGATCTGAATGTAGTAAGCTCCTGCGATTCTTCGTCCAGGTGGACTGACCAATATCCTGCCTTTGCGTCCAATTTCGAGAAGTACTTGGCCTGTGAGAATGCAGGATTGAGCTCCTCTAGAGTTGGAATCTTGTGAGGGCATCTTTTCAGGTTTTGATTGAGCCTTTTGGGGTCAAGGCAGACTCGCAATGACCCATCCTTCTTCAGGGCTGTGGTGAGGGAACTGCACCAATCTGTGTGATGAGTAACTTTCCTAATGATGCCGTTACTTTCCATCTGATCCAGCTCTTTCTTGAGCTTGTCCCTCAGGTGGATGCTGCATTTTCGAGGCGCATCAATTGATGGAGTTGCATCCTTCTTCAAGTGCAACGTTGCCTTGCCACTGAAGTTCCCAATCTGGTCAAACTGGTCTGGGTAAGCCGCCTGTAGGTCTTTAGCTGACCTGATGGGAGGAAGATCATTTGGACTGTCCAGGCCCATCTGTTGTTCAACTGTGTGAATCGTAACAATCCCTAGCTTTCTGGAAGTAGGAAGTCCGACAATGACTGGTCCCTTTACGTCCGCAACATACCATGTTTGGTCTACGACCCAAGGCGACCCTTCATACATCATCGACATCATCAAGGTGCCTAAGCAGCGTAAAGGCGTTTCTCCGTAGGCAGATAGTCGCGTAGTAGTGGGACGGATAACATCTTTCCATCGAGCCCTGTACATGTCCTTCAGCGTCCGCAGTGGCAGAACATTACCGCTGGCTCCTGTGTCAACCTTTGCATTGAGGCGATGATGACCCCTCAGGTCTGGACATATGATGTTGATACTCGCATATGCTTCGGTCTCCTCCGAGTCAATAGAGTTTAGCGATATATGTATCATGTGGAATTCACGTTCCCCACTGTCCGGTTGGTTTGTGTCGTCCGGTCCAATTTCGTCAACCTTACGCTGGTTCCTGCTATGAAAGGATGTAGGCCTATACTGCCTGTTTCTGGGCTGTCTCTGCTGTGAGCTCCACCTGTCTTGTGATGGTGGACGTCTAGGAGGGATCTTCGGTTTGACCTGTTCTTTCGTCTTTCGACACATCTTCGCCCAGTGTCCTTTGACGCCACACGAATTGCACAGGTCCGCGAAGGCTGGACACCTCTTTGGAAGGTGTGAAAGACCACAGTTCCTGCATTTCTGCCTACTGTCGTGACTAACAGCATCAATGTTCCCACTTCCAATGGTGTGGAGCGTCTGCAGGCACTGTTTACCGACTTGAATGGCCTCATATTTGCGGCCTTCTTCAAGAAGCTTATCAATTGAGAACCCCTTTTCTTTGTCGAGTAGGTCTTTCTGAAATGACTCGAGTTGTGTAGACGAAATCACCAGCTCTATGAGTCTTTCACTCAATTCCCCCTCGGTGAATTTGCATTCCTTTGCCTTACTCCGACATCTATTGACGAACTCGTCGATCGTTTCTCCAGACATCTGCTTGTATCGCATTAATTCGAGCCGATGAATCCTGAAGTTCACTTTGACATTCAGTTGGCCTTCGATTAGGGCCCATAGCTTGCCTGGGTCCTTCTGATCCTCTACACTGAGGCTAGAGGCGTTTATCCTGCGTAACCCTTCGTTCCCAAGAGCTATCTTTATTTTTGTTGCCTGTTTTGTAGTATCAGTTATCTCATTATCGAGAAGGCAAAGTTCCATTCGCTGTTGAAATAACGTGAATTCTTCAGCGAGACCACACTGAGGGTCCCACTTCATCTCTGGATAGCGAGCCATGGTCCTGGTTTCTACAATGGGGTCTTGGACTACACAGGTAATTACATGTAATACATGAATTGTGACTTAAATCGACATGTAGGCCTACATAGCAATTAGCATTTACACTATAGACTAGATCTATATGTACAACTTCAAAATGTAGGTTCAAATGTATCAAAATATATCAAGTCTAGATCCATAGACAATTAGACCCCCTTGTGTAATTGGTCTAGCAAAGACAACTGGTCCTGGACCCACTTTAAGGGGATACCACGGACCACTGTTTGGTCTATAGTACCAGTGGCAGTAGAGTCTACCACCACTAGATCTAGATTTAAGTTAGTAATAGTACATCAGCACTTCTACATACATGTAAGAGATATGTGTGTATCATTCACTTAATTAGGACAGGTCCACATGTAGAAATTGGACTTGTTAAGGTCTAAAGTAAACACATCTAGAAATCTAGACTAGGCCTAGTCCAGATCTAGACCAGGTCCAGTAATATAGAACAAGGTGAAAGTAGATTTTGATCAAATTACACCTAGTCATACTCATTCTCATACTCGGTCTAGTCTAGATCCATAAGTGGAGTCTAGACTAGAAAAAAGTGTCTAGACTATCTATCTAGGCTAGGTCTTGATCTAGACCCCTAGACTAGACTAGACTCTAGTCCAGTTTTATACGACAAACAAAGCACATTAATTATGGTTTAATTGTTTCAAACCGAGTCCAAACATTATATGTCTGCTTAGATTATAGTCCATTTGATTGAGAGTCTAATCAGTAATCTAGTTTTCATTCCACAATCAGATCCGGCGAAGTCCAGCAATCAGTCCTGGATCTACTTGCACGGTCCGCAACACGACGCTCTGGGTCCGAGTGGCGGCTAGTTCCAAAACCATAATGCAGTGCAGGGCTGGAAGTCCGAGGTAGCGGCCTTAGAGCTGTACTGTTCCCGGTCCCGGTCGAGCCTCTAGGCTCTGGTCTTGTCGAGCCTCTAGGCTCTTCTCCTGACGAGCCTCTAGGCTCTGCTCCTGGCGAGCCTCTAGGCTCTGGTTCTGCCTCCGCATCAGTTCTGGTCCTGAATGTATAGGGCTTTAGTCTGACAGTCAATACACTAGTCTACTCGTAGTGTTTCCCGCGTAATATAGTGCGCAACCTTACGCCGACACAAAGTCATATTGGAGACGCGGCTGTGAGTTTACTCTGCTGGCTGTGCAGTGTGATTGTCGGCAGTTCAAAAACCGTCCCTTATCAATCTTTCATAAGTCATTCAAGATTATTGCTTGCCCTATGTGATCTGCAGTTCGATAGTAATAGATATGGCAATTCTTTTGACCGCTGCCACCATGTTGAAAGATCAGATGAACGGATAAATAAGAGATCACTGTAGACAAGGTTCATGTATAAGTGGCCATCTTGAAAGTGCTTTATTCATGTATCCTTCCGCCAATCGCGGCCTCATTACGCACATTGATGTTGTTCATATAGTACCACAACAATTACGAGTTGACCAAATGAAAGTTGTTATTGGCTTATAGGTAGCTGAAGCAACTGCTAAATCAGAGGATGTCATCTTTCTACTTTTGACCCCAGCGTTGAAAGGCAAACAGAACAGGTAAGGTAGTCTAATAATAATATGAATGGTAATGATGATACTACTAATAGTCCTTCTACTACTACTACTACTATACTATTACTACTACTCTGTGTACTGTTACTTCTATAATACTACTAGTAATGACATTGATGCATTGCATATGGGGGGAAATGCTTCTTGTTTTTCTTCATTTTCTGATAAGGAGTTAAATTATCAATTCATGTTGTGAAAAGTATCAGAGTTCCCCATGTTTAAAGAGAAATATCCCAAATAATGTGGATGGATATCTGGTCATTTCCAAAATATAATTATAAATTGTAATTATGTGTTCATTATCCTCCATTCTTTATTTGGCCTATGCATAGCACTGATCTCAAGCTTGGATTCCCTGTGACTTCACTGAGCTCTAATGAAGAGAATAGTTCTCGCTCAAGACGTCCTGATTTCAATGTACTCAATGAAAAAGCTTTGCAAATTGCCAAGAAGGTATGTATAAATGTAACAATAATAATGATAATAGTAGTGATAATAATAATACTGTTCAGATTAAAGAGGAACATTCCTCTTTTTGGGAGAAGATAATTATCATTTTAATGCAGGTGTTCCTCTTCCTGTACAAATTTGTCTGTAGTATTGAATAGGAGAGTTACGATTGTTCCTTTTTTTTTTGAAAATAGCATAATTTGTACAGATTTCTGATTTTCAAATGTTGGCATGTATGTGATAATGATGATAATGATAAAAGTAGTAATAATAATATTGATGATGATGATGATGATGAAATAGAGGAGAAGAAGATGATGATGAGTTTGGAAAATGCTACTTAATTTTAATACTACAGTTTGTTGATGGGTTCATCAAACTGTACACTGGGATTTAATACAGAAAATTGTGTTAAAAAAACAAATTTAATTGACTTTGCTTTTGATGAACAGGTAAGGATAGCAAACTAGTTCACTAAAGTGAAGTATGTCATTAGTAAATTGATCAAATAGCCTAATAAAGATAATGATGAGTTTGGGGATGTACTTTCTACAAAATAAAATAAACATTATTACAGTTGGGATATATTCAGGTATATTGCTTGATTGTTTGCTTATTCGAAGATACACTACTGTGCAAAAGATCTATTATCGGAGTTGCTTGTTACTTTATAAATACCATCAAAATGTGATAACCGCATCACGATATGATTTGTTGGAGTCTCCAGTATATTTCAACAGTTACGTGAAAAATATGTGGAGAGTGAGATGAAAGTTAATTTTACATCATTTGAAGGAAAGTTTGTAATGCTTTTTTGCTCTGCAGATTACATGCCCTGAACATGTGCAGAACATCAGTGTTGAGAAAGGAGTATTGTATTTTTCACTGGATCCACAATTTATTGTCAAGGTAAACAAATTTCCCTTTTCTCTTCCTTTCTCTCTCTCTCTCTCTCTCTCTCTATCTTCCTCGGTCACTCTTGCTTTCTTTGAATCTCTGTCTCCCTTCCTCTGTTTAAAATTTAATTTTTCCTTCCTTTCTATATTTTGTTTCTCAATCCAGAACAAATGTACAAATAAGCTAACTTACTGTAGGTGTACCACATGTAATTGAACAGTAAATATAAGCTGATTTATTAAAACAAATGATAATGTTGATAGTGAGCTTTTTAGAATATTTTTATAAGACTTTTAATGGCTCTTCCAACATGATGCGAATGCCATATATTCTTTAGCTTTATGAATATACTATTGGGTAGGCCTAATTACAAATGAGTCATAACTTTTAACACACAGGTTTTATCAATCAATAGCATCTGTTACCCTGTCTATTTCTATATTAATGCTTATCATTTGAATATTTTGATTTTTGTCCATGCATTATTTTTCAGCAAGTTCTACAGGATGTTTCAGAGCAACAAGGGGGCTATGGCTATCAACAGTACCCTGGCATTGAAAGCAAACTCAATATTATTGTGGAATACAGGTAATGAAATTCAAGGATATCTAACCTAAAATAATAACCTACTTGTAGCTTCCATTTTAATCTACCTGTTGACACTACCTCTTAAATATTTAGCTAAATAATACACATAGCCATTTATGAAAAAAAATTCTTTTGATATATTATGTACAGCAATGATTGTCTAATACCGGTACTTGGAATGAATGGAGTCAGCATAAAAACTTTATAAAGTATTTTTGCAGCTTTCACCGATATATATTTATAAGTTTAGTCTCGTCTATAATAACCCCCTACTTCCCTGCCTTCAAATATATTGTTTTTATTACTTATAACTGTATAAATAATCTGCACACTCACTCTCTTTCTCTTTCTTTCTCTCTTGCCTTTTCTCTCTCTCTCCCTTTCCTTCTCTTTCTCTCTCTCTCTTCCCTTCTCTCTTTTTCCTTTTTTCCCTCTCTCTCTCTTTCATTTAATCATTACCACAGCTCTCCTAACATAGCCAAGCCCTTCCACGCTGGACATCTCAGATCTACGCTCATAGGAAACTTTCTTGCCAACCTTCAAGAAAGTCTTGGCCATAATGTCACAAGGATCAACTACCTAGGAGACTGGGGCACTCAGTTTGGTAGGTCTCTCGGAGACAGGCAATATTGCTAGATAAAAATCGTGATTGATGTAAACACAATTATTATAGGAAATACATGCATGCTGTTTTATTTGACTTCATTTTTTATTTATTTCTGGGGAATACTTGCAAAGGGATCTAAATTATTGATGATTGATAATAGAAACTTAAGAATTTGATATGTTAACAAATTTGAGGCAAACCAATTATATTTTTCAACCACAAGCTGCAAAGCAAGGTTCTTAATGTTGAGTTTTCATCTCTCCCTTTGTCTCTTTTTTTTCTCTCCCTTTCCTTTTCATCAGGTATTCTTGGAGTGGGTTTTCAACAATTTGGAAGTGAGGAAAAACTTAAGGTGAATCCAATCCAGCACCTGTATGAGGTTTACATTGCGACCAACCAGGCAGCAGAGAATGACCCGACCATATGGCAAAGGGCTAAGGAACTCTTTAGAAAAATGGAACAAGGTAAGATCATGACCCCAAGAAGGAAGAGAGAGAGAGAGAGAGAGAGAGGAGGAGGGAGGGGGTGGAGGAGGTGGGGGGGGGGGGAGACCTACATGTAGGTGTAAAAGCAGACAAAGCCAAGAACTAAGTACATATTATGTATAGGCAAGGGCTAAAGAACAATTTAGGACACCTAAGCCTAGCCCATAGTGATAACATATGTATTAGAAGGGGAAAAAAAGAGATATTTAGACACATTTCTAGAGATTCAAGTCTACCCAACATACAAATATTTAATGAAGATTTGTTTGGGGTCATGAGATGTGCTATCACAATGCTGTGTCACTCAATTGTTAATTTAAGTAGTCATTCATCGTTTATTAGACTTTTTAATTTTAAGCACTAAAATATGGCCACAGAATTCTGAGCAAGGAATTTGCAAGTTTAGGCCATGGCTCTAAAGGTTTTCAATCATTTGCAACTTGGTGTGATAAGGTTATGATTGAAGAGGGGGGGGGGTATATTGTAGGCAATGCAATATTCCCAAAATAACCTGAAAGCACTTCAAGAAAATCGTTGGTAATCAAACTTGCAAAACAATCCTTTATTTATTATTTATTTATTTAAAAATATTTATACAGGTTGACAATATCAGCCAAAGCAGTTTTTCATATTGGTCCTGTATATACATGGTAAGGTACAAAATAACAATAAAATACAAGATATCAATGAAATATGCAAAACATTAAATATATCATTGACACTTCCCCATTGTATCATACTTGCACCAGGAGATTCAGATGCATTAGAGCTGAGACACAGGTTCAAGGAGCTGAGTATTCCAGATTATAAGAAAACATATCAGGTGAGTGTGTATGATGAAAAAAAGAACATATTATGATTTTTCTCTCATTGTTTACTCTTGCTGTCCCCCTTGATTTCCATCTTTCATTCTTTCATCATTTAACTTCAATCCTAGCTATATCACCCTTCTTCCCATGTATGTTGCTTTTTAAAGAATTATTCCTATTTCCCATATTTTTCTTAAATTCCCTTTACTCCAGAGGCTTGGCGTTCACTTTGATGAGTACTGCAGTGAATCTCAATACAGCAGTGAAGCACAGAATCTTCTCATCAGTCTCAGAGAGGAAAATCTGTTAACTACATCAGAGTGAGTGAATGTTTATTGTGAATGAAAAGTAGTGGGAATAAGCCCATTTAATAATAATAATAATATTTAATTTTTGTATAGCGCTTAATACAAATGTCTCTAAGCGCTTTACAGGTAATGGCTTCCGAGTCTTCAATGTCATTGTAATATCCCTGTCAACTAATGTGCAATATTAGATGTACATATAACTATATTAAGTACGAGCAGAATTTTGTGCATTCCAGCCAGAGCATATAGAGGTTAGGAACAGTGGTGAAATGAACTGTGCTGTAAATTATAATTTGTAATTAGTATACTGATATCTGTTTACCAGAGATGATTGGAAAAAAGAAATGTAATACATATAACGTTATTCAAATGTTACCCAGAATTTGTGCAGAATGCATACATGTGCACTGTATATCCTGAGTTTATAGCAAGAACTATAACTTTTCAGTCTTTATTAACTGGAAATCTACTGTACAAAAATCCTTGGTACCAAATTTGCTTTACCTGTCTACAATGGTTGAACTACCCAAACAAGAAATTAAATTGTTTTTTTTATTAACAAATTATTTGTTCAGGAGAGGAACAAGTGACATCAATCTTTCAGACATCTGTCCCAGGTTTCCCGTAGCCACCCTTGCAAAGAGCGACAGCTCGTCTCTCTACCTCACCCGAGACCTGGCCGCTGTACTGGACAGGAGGAAACATTACACCTTTGACCGTATGTACTACGTGGTGGACAAGGGACAGGAAGGGCACTTTGAGCAGCTGAAAGGGGTCCTAAAGAAGATGAATCGGGAATACTTTCAAGGGTGAGCAAGGGGAAAAGAAAAACAATTGGGGGGGGGGGGCTACTTTCCGAGCTTGGTTGCATGAAAAAAAACACTCTTTAAATTGTTTTGCATTGAAGTCTATGCAAAAAAAAATTGGCTCTTTTATGACTTTCACAGACTCTTTTTTGCATTTTGGGGCTAATTCGCCCCAAGCCCCCATGTATTTTTTTCCCTGAGGGTGAGATACATGTATGGGGCTTCTTGGTTTCATCAACAACAACAAAAGTATAACTGCATGAATTTAGAAATAGGGGCTAATTAATATAGGTTTAATTTATGTTTAACCTTTTACCATATGTGGCAAATTTTTCTCAAGATTTTATTTGGTAGATTGTAAGTTCAGGTTAAGAATGGTTTGTTGTCAGCGTGTAATTTAAATTGCCTTATTTAATGTGAATGTTAAGCCTGTTAACCAAATACCAAACAGAGAAGATAAAGGAACTTGTATCTAAACATTTTGTTCTATTGGATCTTATTTGTGATACAATCTTGGTGGAACTGTGTTGGTTGTGTGTTTATTATTCTGTGTCAAGAATGTTCATGTTGCAGGTATATAAGTCTACCAATAATTTTGATTATTAATCATATCAATTCAGTCCATTTTCTTTAAATCAATATGAATTCTTTTTCAATTTCTCTTAGAATCCACCATGTTAAGTTTGGTAAAGTTTTGGGCATGCAGTCTCGGAAAGGAACAGCTGTTTTTCTGACCGATATCTTGGATGAAGCAAGAGACCGCATGCTGCATAATATGGAGCAGACTTCTAGTAAGTAATGCTGATGAAGATGATTATCATGTTGTATCTTATTCATCTAAACTGGAGGCATTAAGCCATTTTCGGTTGAGTGGGGAACCATTTTTTTTTTTTGTGGGGGGGGGGGGGGATGATTAGATCACAAACGAGCACACACTGCATGGGATACAGAGGTTTCTCATTATAAAAAGTTTGATTCAATGTGATACCAGATAAAACAATAATTTTGCTTGTCACACATCTTTATATCTTTTTGTTTGTTTTATACACCGTGATACAACAAAATATCTTATATAACAAGATAATTTTCATGGTCCTAATGTCCTCGTTATATAGAAAGTTTCCTCTGTATTATACAAAGTCAATTACTTGAGGAGGGCAAGTGCTTCCAATCCTTCATCGCCTGGTCTTGATATGGTCAGACCAGAGTACCAGCGAGTGGAGCAACATTAAAGCCTGTCCACACTATTTTAACCAGGAGGGATTAGACCTTCCTGCTGTGGTCACTGACAGGTGTTTATCTCATCAAATCATCAAATCAGCTCTCAATTATCATAAGAAAAAAGGGATCATGGGGGACCAACGGTCACCACTTATGCATTGTTTGCTATATAGAGGGTGCAAGTAGATACAAGTAGTGCAGACGAGCTTTAACATCTACCAGATTGTTATCAAAGTCTTCTTTTTTTCGTTCATCTATTAGCAACCAAGGAGCAGGAAAACCCTGAACAGGTAGCAGAAGCCCTTGGAGTTTCAGCCATCATACTCCAGGATCTCAAGGGGTCTATAATCTCAGACTACAAGTTTGACTGGGACAGAGTCCTCACTAGTCAGGGAGATACAGGAGTCTTTCTACAGTATTCTTATGCAAGGCTCTGCAGGTAATTCTTTTGATCAGGCCTGATAAAAATTCATTTCAATCGGTTTCCTGATTTTTCATTTTTCATTTTCCCAATTCCCCCCCTCCTGATTTTACCCCTATTTTCTATATTTTCCCTGATTGTTCTCTTTTTGTCCCCACTTTTCTAACTCAAAAGGGGGGGGGGGGGGTGCTGTTAGATGCCATAGGGTGTAATCTTTAAAATGTACGTCCTAATCATCATCCAGCTCACATTAATCGACCGATACTGACTACATAAAGCTCATTCTGTTTTAAATGATGTGGCATTTAGAATTGAAACTATTTTAGCATTCATTTCAACCAGTAAGGTCGATCTTAATTTACTATGGTTTGTTCAACTGTACCATTTAACTTAACTTTTGTCACTTCTATGTAAGTTTAACTGACAGTTTTGATAGTATACTATTTATTTCTTTGTATTTCCTTTTCTGTAGCATTGAGGAGTTGAACAGTATGCCACCATCATCCTCACATGATGAAATAGATAGCAATCTGTTGTGTGAGCCTGAAGCGGTCCAACTAGCGTGGTTTATCAGTCACTATGATGTGGCTGTAAGAAGAGCAGAGGCAGAGATGGAGCCCAAGGCCGTGGCCCAGTACCTGTTACAGCTTGGGTGAGTAACAGTCACAGTCGAGTGAACTATCGATAACAAGGTCTGTGGTTCGAGTCTCGCCACAGCACTAATGTCATAATGAAGGATGGGTTTGTATTGATGTATGGATGGAGGGAAGGGTGGATGTATCAAAACATGATTAATAAATAAATGATTGGATTAATTGATTGATAGATGGATGGATAATAATATTAATACTCAGTTTTTATATAGGGCTTATTACAATCACTAAAGCACTTTTAAACTTGGAGATTATTACCCCGGCTTTAGCTGTGCTGCCATTACGGCACTCTAGCATTTCAAAGAATTAATTCCAGCCAGGTACTCATCTACATCACCTGGATTGAGTGAGGCAAATGTAGATGAATGAATGATATCACAATAGGTGGATTGGTGGATGATGATGCACTGGTATGGCTGTGAGGAGAGCAGTAGCAGAGATGGAGCCTAAAGTTGTGACCGGCCATTACCTTGGATGAGCATCATTGGTGAATGATTGAATGGATGGATGGATGGAAGGATAGATGGAAGAAAGAAAGGAAGGATGGATAAAGGAAGGGTGTATCCAATTTAATCCAAAAGATATTTGATATAGGTCCTTTTCCTTGCAGTTACAAAGCGCTGTACACATGTATATATGTCACAAACTGATGGGTTGATGGATGGACAGACATTGGATACCGGTAGATAGATGGATGAAGGGATCTTGAAAACAGAATTTCATGTACATGTATTGCACAGACGTCTTACAGAACTGTCCTTAATCGTTGTTTTGACATTTCAAACAGGCACAGGGCTATGTATAGCTATAAATGCTAGTACCGGTTCATGTAGGTCTCAATCCACATGGAAGTAGGAATATATTCACCTTGATATTTTAATTCAAATGGAGAAAATATTCTGTTTCTTCTATTTCTTGACAGACATTTGATTTCAAGAGCCAACAACAAACTTAAAGTGAAGGGAAGTCCAGATGATGTGAAGAGGGTGAGTGATAATTCTTTCATGTTATACAATGTTAGAAAGATTTGATTTCTCTGTTAAAGATGATAAAAAAAACACTTGTGGTGACATTCAAAAATATTCATTGTTGCATGAAACATGGAAGAAATTACTTCAGGGAAATGTATGATTGCTAGTCTTTTTTGTTGTGACAGAATCAAAATAGAAGAGCCGAAACAATTATAACGTTTCTATGTTGTGGCAAAGGATAAACTGCACCCATCCAAGATTTAATATTATTTTTTCTTATTGTAATACATATAATTGGAATGGCAGAATATTTTTGCTATTGCTTTCAGATTGCTGTTTTTTACAGAATGTTTCCTTTCATGTGATTGATGAGTTTGTGTTCCCATGAATACAAGAATTGATAATACATACTGCATTGTTCCTGCTAGCTATTATAAAGGAGCTTTACTTGATCTAATAGTGTCTTTCGTATTTTTTTACAGGCTAGACTTCAGCTATTCAGGTCAGCAAGAATGACTCTGGCCAATGGAATGAGGCTGCTTGGCATGAAACCACTTTCGAAGATGTAGAAGATCGTGCTTTTAGATACTGATGGAGTCTTCTGTTCTTTGATGTTAGTTTTGTGTCTACTGACTTTAAGATTAGACCGATCATTATATGAAACTGGATAATGTGGAACTGAAAGTCTCCAATTTCAGTTGATTCATGCAAGATTCTGTTCTAGTTTGAGAACTACTGTAAGATGCGATGGGTTGAAGTCTTTCATTCTGCAATTCGAAGACCCCTCAGTTTCATTTTTTTTAAACTTAGAGGTCATGAGGGTTTAGATATAGACTAAGCCAGGGGTTTGGCAATTGGGGTAACACGTTACCCCATTTAACGATTAATTGTTTTGTGTAAACTCAGAATTATTGAATTAAAAAGAACGACAACTTTTTTCTTTGCTTTTGGTTGAAAGTATTATTTGTCAGGAAAGTTTTGTACGTACGTCAATCCTTCTTCCACTATGATTTCCGTATTTTTTTTAACAGAAGTTTTATGAAAAAATTTGAAAATTGGCATATTAACCTCAAATGTCAATATCAAAATGTTGCAAGTAGAATAATCTCAGAATTAGTGAGATGGAAATATCAGCATATTGGTCTGAATATCACAAATGAGGATTATCTTAACCCATGGTTAATCGTCAAGTGACGTAAGCATGTGACCTTATGTCCAGTGATACGGCAATAGGCACATACATGGACATGTATACAATTAACTCGATCTGCATTAATTGGAGTAGTACCAGTTGAATCTTCTCTAAGTCAAATGAATATTGTTGACCAAACCATGCTAAACATGTGTTATTTACACTAGTCTTTCTAAATAATTTGTTTAAATTGCAGTCCCAACAGATTCGACTTATGTAGCATTAACATTATATTCTAGTCCTCAATGTAGCTGATTTTAATAAGCCAGACTACACCATGGTTTGAATTTGAACCTTTTGGTAGCTTTGGACTTTTGCTTTCAAAGTCACCAAATGACTAAGGTTATAAATTGTTTGACTTCCTTTATACTATCTCATGCAATAACTCTAGACAGTTGTGAACTCACAGCAGTTTTGTATGTCTTGCATAATTTTAAGTTTTATATCATATTATTAAAAATAATCACTTACTAAATGAATCTTTGTATCAGATTTATTCATTCAAATGTACTGTACTATTTTCCTGTAAATTGCAATGTATACAGTTCAATGAAAAGCAAGATTCATAATTAGTAATATCATTAAAGGGGAAGTCCACCCTAATATTGAATTAGTTTTAACAGAAGCAGAAAAATTAGGAAAACAATTCAGTGAAAGTTTGAGAAAAATTGGTCAACAAATAAGGAAGTTGTGAATCTTTCAAAATCATGAAAATCATGGAATATTTGAGATAAATTGACAATGCAGTCAGAAATTGTGATTTCATTCCCTTTATACACTTCACCACTGATCTGAATGACTCCAAGTCTCCATTTCTCTCAATGTTAATGGATAGTAGACCTAGTATCTTATATAGGGGCACAGTGAGAAAAAAAAAACCTGTTATCCATGATATATGATCAAGATAGGCATGAAGAAAATATATCTTTTGATCAAAATGGAATTTACTGACATTCCTTGCATTTAACAAAGGATAGAATGTGAGCGGGTGACATCATGTTTAGAGACCGCGTTGCCAGTTTGACTCACAGATTTAAAGTATTTCATGAAAAGTTATTTTAAAAATCCATAACTTTCTTTTTTATTGTCCCAATTTTTCAAACCTTACTGATCTCTTCTTCTCATTTTTCTCCTTGTATATCAGGGTGGACTTCCCCTTTAATTGTATACCAAAAATTCAATTTTTGCAGTAATGGCCCCCAAAGGGCACATGGGTTTATGGAGAACAACAAAACAGAACTACATGTACATGTAAACAACCAGAAAATACATTGAAAGGCAATGCATACAATATTATGTAGGCTGGAAATTTGGTATCCCCTTGAAGCTCATTCTGTAGTTGATTTACATGTTACTATAACTTGCTGTCACTATGAACATAACATGATTTTAGTGTCTTATAATATGTTTTCTGACACGGCAAAATTCAACTATACAACTTATACAACCGTTTCGGTGACCAACATATATAACTTCTTATCCATGGGTTTGAGGGAAATTTCAAGGTTATGGCAACCACTTTTGGTTTTAAAAGTTGCTTAGTTGAATTTGTTATGTCAGAAAACATATTATTAGACACTAAAATCATGTTATGTTCATAGTGACAGCAAGTTATAGTAACATGTAAATCAACTACAGAATGAGCTTCAAGGGGATACCAAATTTCCAGCCTACATAATATTGTATTGCATGAATTTGACCACCAGTCAAAAGTGTGTTGACCTTTCAACGTTTTTGACCATAGCGCCCTCATTTAAGGTCGGAGGTATAGCAAACTATACATTTTTTGAATCCTCATGACCAGACGAGTAATTTGATATGCAAATCGACACGATTGGAGTATATTTTAATTTCTACCCTGTATGACCTTTGTTGACTCGGACCCCTCACGAAAATGCCTGGGATTTTCAAGGGGGCAGCCCAAGTCAAAATTGTTCGGTATTCATCAGGGAACACAAAAACACTTTCAAACCTTTGTTCCCCGAGATTGGTCACGGGACCTACAGGCTGGTCTCCTACTATATACTGCACTACTTGTAGCTACTTTCTCTCTCTATATAGAAAACAATGCCTAAGCGGTGCCCGTTGGTCCCCCGTGATCCTCTTTTTCTTATGTTAATTGAGACCTGAGTTGATGAAATAACCACCTGTCAGTGACCAGCAGGGTGGTCTAATCCCTCCTGGCCAAACTAGTGCAGACCTCGCAACTCCTTGAAATTTCGATTTTATTATTCAAATGACCATTCAGAACCTTGATCATTAAGATTTTAAATGTTTCCGAGGGATTTTGAAGCTTCTTCTAAATTCAGATCTTAGTCAGATCGTATAATGTACGTTGGGCAATTCAATTGAAATCTGTTATTTTGTAAGCGCTATTTTAACACTTCAATTTTAGTCCAAAATATTATTATTATCATCAATATTATTATCATCATTACTATTATTACCATTGGTAGAATCATATTTAATATTATCATTATTATTGTAATTATTATCAACAGTACACAGGCGCGTACGTATTTTTGTTTAAATATGTGTGTATTAGAGGACTCCCCGCCCCCTCAATTATTTTTTTTATTATAAAAAAAAATTATATAAAAAAAAATCAAAAAAAAAATCCAACTGAACGAAATATCGGTCGGCCAATTCTTCAAATGTTCGAGACAAAAAACAAAAACAAATGTGCTCTAACTCCCCCCCCCCCCCTCCCGGAACCCAAACAAAACACAGCATGAACAAAGCGGTCGTAACATTTCCACGCGTCACGCTTTCGATATATATATATATATATATATATAAATTATATATATATAAGGCTATAAAAACAGGATCGTATATCAGACGGCAACCGAATATCAATAGAGGAGGTTTCAAGCTATTTTGCCCTTTGTTGCGATCGTTCTGTAGAATACAATCTAACAATCACGTTTGAAGCAGGCTGCATCACGGTAAGTAGGCCTACATTGCCATTCTATAATAAAATTATGATTAGGAATATTCGTTTACGGTAAAACTTCGGGACAAAAGGACACAAGAAACGGATCATCCTGTTTAAATTATTTATAATTGAACTTACTGATAAATTCTACGCTATAGTCTTTAAAGTACTCATAACATTTTTGTTTGGGCTCTTTTTCAACATGACTATTTTCAACATGACAGTCTGAAGTAGAGTGTCAGAAGCGCTATTGCCAAAATAGGAGAATGGCCGCTACATTTGGTTCTTTTTGCCTTGTTAAGGAAAGAAAGAATATGGAATAATTATTGAAAAAACCCTCATAATCTTCTTATTGTACCATAATCACACTCACGCTGGGACCAAGCAAGTACAATTTGTAATGTAATGTCCAATTTATATATTTGTAAGGGTTCTGCCTCGAAAGGCGATTGGCCTATACGGTTCCCTTCCAGTTCCACATTACCGTTCTACTGTAATGTATTGTTAATATATACATAGTATGCTACTGATCATATTATCTTTGTTTTTAGTAGTATGTTTTTAATAAAATGTCGGAATTAAAACTTAAAGATAAAGGTGAGTTCTGGTAATGCGATTGCATTGTGAAAGGAAAGGTGTGGAATGGATCAGAAAAAGTTGATCATGTAGCTTGTAAGTATTGGTGTACACTGCAAGGTTCTGGACTCATCAAAATCATAATAAATTCGGCCCAGTCTTGGTAAAGTAACAAGCACTGTACACAGAAAGATGTATATGGGACTACACAAATGGTGTCGGGGCTAGTAGTACTACCTGATTTTCTTATCTTTCTATGCTCATTACTCAGTCAGTATACATTTTCTTCCAAAATTGTTTGGCACATGACATTTATTTGTAATCTTGAACATTCAGTGTAAGTTTCGTTTGATTATGTGAGAATTCATTTTCTTTTTTTTTAACCAGAACTCAACTTTATCTTTAAACTTGAACTTAAACTTGGATTGGCAAAATGGAAATTGTTCAACCGTCTTGTTTCATTTCCTAAAACAAAATGACTTGTGCATAACCAATTGCAAATTATTCTACATGCATCACTATTTCGTGATCCCACGCGCAAATGCTTCACACCCCGTTAGAGCCCCCCCCCCCCCCCCCCCTCTCTGTCAAACCCAAGTATCTACGGAGGCACGCTTTTTGAACAAGTAAGACAACTGTATTTAAAATATCACTTGATTTCTCTGCTCAAGGGGCCCCTAGCTTTCTTCTAAAAGAATTTAAAAGCTAGTAAACTGACTTCCCTGCTATGGATCAGGAAAGAAAGATTACCCCACCCGAAGAAAATTGCCTCCAGTTTGCCCTCACACTTTTTGATATCAAATGCTCCTTCCTACTGTACAAAGTCATGGAGTACTTGTATATGTATATGCCTATCTGTCGAACTGATGACGTGCATGCCTTTTCCTTTTATTCAATAAATTTGCAGATGCAACCAAGAGTGAGGCTTTTTAATCGATTTTGGATATCAACTGTTGTGATGGTAACCGGTAAATATATGACTTAACGATACAATCTTTACGTATGCCTTACTCACACCTTATGGGCGAAAATCCATTAATCGAGCTGAAAGCGGAATCAGCTCCCCTCACTATTAAAGTATTATACACGTTCGAACTTGATACTGGTACTATAATAGTACAAGTATCAAGTTCGAACGTGTCATCCACCGTAGATCGAAGTAATAAAAGCGGTGGCTCGTGCCATTCTCCTCCAGCTTTCTGATATCATCTTGGTATACCCAGATAGCAATACGACGTTGGCCCAAAGTCACCACCATGACGTTGGGCCAACGTCGAGCTAACGTTATGCCAACCCGGCCTTTCCCACCACGTGCCATTGCCCAACGTTGGCACGTCGACTGCAACTGTGCCGACAATGACGTTGGCCAATGTCGTATCTGGCTAGTGTGCAAGCACAGACTCTAATTAGACACCTTACCACGACTCCTAAAGCCTTGAGCAGAGTATATTTCTGTGAGTTTCTGTCAGAAATACAAAATAAAAAAGTGTGCATCTTT